GCTTGAAAACACTCTTATCTCAGTTTTCTCCTCCTAATATCCTTTTTATCCTCCTCTTTTATCGCCCTTCTTCTTCCCCTCTTCTTTCCCCTTTCTACTCGTCCTCTCTCACCCATGTCCCCTTCTCTCTTCCTCTAATGTCTCCTACCTTATCCTCATCATCATCTTCCTCTTCTAACTTTCTTCTCTCCCTCTTGCTTCTCTTCTTTACCTCTCATTTCTCCCCCCCTTCTTCTTTTCTTCTCCTGCGTAATACTCTTCATTCACCTTCCTCCCCATTCCCATCTTCTCACAGTCTCTTTTCCCCTGCTTCATTTCTCTATTCCTTTCGTCAGCCTCTCTTGTACTTCCTTCTATTGCCCTCTTTCTCCTCTTACCTCCCTTAGTCTCCTTCTTAGCTTTCACTTTTCATTTTTCCCTTATCTGTCTTCCTTCTCCTTCCCTCTTTCTATCATATCTTACTTTCTCCTGTTTCTCCTTCTCCTGGTCCTGTTTTCACCTCTATATCCTCACCCACGCTCCAGTAATGCCTCTTCTCTTCTCCCTGTTTGTGGCTTGCCTGCCCTCGCTCGCTCCCCCCCTCCACATGGGGCAAACTCGCTGGTCACGTGAAATTCCGCTCAACGGATCAGCCCTCAGTGGGGGCCTATTTTCCCCCCATAGGTCCTCGTCTCAGACTAGTCTCTTCAGAAGCCGCTGTTTCGTGGGGCTCTCTTGTCATATCCCGAAGTTCGCTGCTCAGTTCGCTCGTTTTTCGAGGTAGCGGTCGGCCTCCTCCTGAAGCCAGCTTCGTTTAGCACCCAGTTAATTTCTCCACTTTCGTTCGTTTACCCCGCATTCAGTCCCCTGGGTGGGGCCTCATAGGGGGGCCTATTCGGGCCTTGTGTTGGCTCATTCCCCGCTCTTTTTTGGCTTTTGTGCTCGTATCCCATCACAAGCTACATACTATCTGCCCTCTTACTCTCTTTTTGCCCTCTCTTTGCCATTGATCGTCCTCCTTTGACCACCGTCATTCTCAGTCAGGCTTACCGGTAAAAAAAAAATTCCAATTAGGTCCCATCCAGAGTGGGGGGTCACTTGGGCGCGCTTGGGCCACTCTGGAAAAAGGAAATTTGGGCAAGGCATGCAGGGCCATTAGGACAGCCTGGACAAGACAGGGCAACCTTGGCTAGCGATCCCGTCCTGGTTCTCGATCAAGCTCGTTCTCTGGCATCCTAGGCATGACGTGGGCGCTCCTTCCTAGGGAATGTCCCCGCCAATGTCAGCCTGCTATCGAGTGCCCTATATGTGGCATACTCTCTTCTAACTATGCTCAGCACTATAATCGTCGCCATGGCCAGCGGAGTGGGGGCATCAGGCAGCGCTTGCCTCCAGGGTGAGCCACAGAGCATGTCTTTCTTTACTGTGCGTGTGGTGATCTTGTTATCACGGAGGCCAAGTAGCAACAGTCCCTTGTCGGGCACTGACACGGCCCTCGCCAGTGCGTAACAATGGCCAGTTAATCACGATGGATACAGGCCCAAAGCCTGGACGGCTAGGACAGGACGCTAGGACAGGGCAGGGAGCCATGGACGCTGCCTCTTGGAAGGCAGCTATGATACGAGTGTTACTTCTGACGAGGCCAGTGGCATAGCCGAGGCCACCACTGAGGTCATTGAATATAAAATAGGGGCAGCATGGCTTGCTGATTGTTAAGATGATGATACAGGGGCCGCTAAAATTTGGTCGGCTATCGATCTGGGATGGCAATGCCAACCCTACACGTCTTGAGGCGTATCCAAGACCTCATTGAAGCGAGTATTAGTGGCACACTGTGAGCGAGTAGCGGGTCTTCATATGAGATATTTGGCTGTTGGATTCAAGAGCCCAGAAGAAGAGCTTCTGTTTCTCACTGCATTCCTCCAACTAGGGCCCAATGGTTCGGGCGCTTGTGAGGGAGCAACTGTCGGTGGAGGGCTGCGATGGGGGCGAAGTTCCCCTTTGACTCGGCCGAAGGAGGAAGGTTGTCAGCTTTCGCCTGAGGGATTTGTTCGAGACCTCTCCCAGTGAGTGGCCCAAGCGCAGAGTTCATCTAAATACATTCATCACTCGTACTATTGCTATACCGTCTCTTAGACAAGGAATTGGATTCACCCTACCCGAGTTCGGAACCCACACCCTGCCAAACAACAATGCAATCTCTATAAACAATGATCCACTCCCTAATTATTCAAAGAGCTGCAAATAGGGACCATAGCCGGTACCCCAGGGCGCCTTTTCCGCGTTCTTCACAGGATAGTTGTACATCACGCGGTGTTGGGTGGTGCTGCTCACTTTACCGCGCACCATGTCCCCCTCGGATCCGATGTAGAAAATGTTGTTAGAGTCAGGAATGAGTTCCCACCACTGCAGTCGAGGGTCCTCTGTACACGGCTGCAGTGAGAGGACACCGTTCTTTGTGTCAAAGTCGCCCAGCTTCTGATGATCTGGGAACTCTGGACCATAGATGTAGCGAGGGCGATTGTCCACGCCACCCACAGTCAAGCACTTGTCCGGGTGCTTTTCACTCCTCACCTGACCGCGCGACACGTTCTTGGACGTCGCCTTGAAGCCCTTCGGTGGCGAGTCGCACTGGAAAAACTCGAACCGGTCGTCTGAATTTTCACCGTCATGCAGCAGATAACGGCCATCGGAGCTTTTATGGATAGCCGTGCCGGACCGAGACTCATAGTGCCTCGGACCAGTTGTGAGGATGCTGAGCTTCTTCGGGCCCTGGACGCGGTGGCAGTGCATGTCGGACGCTTGCATAGGGGCCGCGGCGGCCTGCGTGCCAGCCATGGCAAGTGCAGAGAGAGTAGCAAGAAAAGCAATCGACTTCATCAGGAAGAGTGGGTTGAGACGATGGGACGTGGGGTGTGTCGATGCGCGCTTTATACGCATTTGCGCCGAGTACCCCTTGGGCGGTCACGGTATTGCGGCGACAAAATCCGGTGTGGAGGGGAGCTTGGCGGGGGGGGGTCCGGGGAATCGGACTTTGCGGCCTCCACGCCGTGGCACGTGAGGATCTCCGTACGCTACTGGGGCGAATATCGGACATCCGTGACGTTGCCTAGGCTTCTGGTGCACCGCATCCGTGTACTATCATCAGCAAGTCTGCCGACCCAGGCTACTGCCTATGTTTCCCATCCAGGATTTTTGTACACGTAACGGATGTAGTAAAAAAACCATCTGACCTATCTTAGATCGATATCTCGCTTTCCTGATGCTTCGTCCTTTGGTCTGTTTCATACTCTGGTTATTTTGACTTATTCCCTCGACCAAGAAATTCTTTTCAACTACATGAGAGCAAGGCTAGATGCGACATCACTGCGACAGTAATCAACCACTGTTTATGGGACCAGGGCGATCTCTACCTCGATTACTACGGCCCAAAGATCCGACTTTACGACGATTCATATATCGGTTGTCCTGCTGGACGCTCCATTCAGGCGTTCTTCTTGAGATTGAGCACCACATTCAGGCTCGTGCCAGCGGACCAATCTCCATAGGGGGGCCTATCCGAGGGCTGATACTGAGAACATTGCTCCTTAAACTGGTCAATGTCCTTCTTGTCCATTCTGCACGATTTCTTCTTCGGGTCACTTTGGTATTTGCCACTCTTAAGAGCCGAACATGCCTTCTTCGTTGCATCATCGTCCAGTTCTTTCGCACCGGCATCCGGAAGGTTCCCGAACGTTGTATAATAATTGAAACAGTACAATTCATACGGCTCCTTCGGATCCATCTCAATCTTCAGGTCCGTGCCAGCGATCCACTTGGTCGTTTTCACATCTGTAGGGTGGCTCTGGCAGCGCTCCTTAAACCATTTAACGTCGTAATCGGCGACTGAACAGTACTTTTCATTATTCATGTTGTGATACTTGCCACTGTTAAGTGATTTGCAGACATCCTTGGTGACAGTATCGTTAATATGGAACTCGAACAAATCCTTTCCTTGAGCATAGCAGTACAGGTTGTGCTTGCTAGGAGTGGGCGAGGCCGAGACAGCGAGGGGGAGGAGTGCCAGAGGAATGAGTTGGAAGAACATGATGGAGTTGCAAAGATTGCGAGGGCGCGCTTTAAGTGCGCGTTGGAATCGGACTAATGTGGCGCGTGCGCCGGAAATCCGTGCCAAGAGAAACTGCCGGACGTACGGTGAGCTGAGCCGATTATTAATCCCACGTGCCATGCAGGGGCGAGCCATGTGATCATATGCATTGACCTGAATGGTTCGTTCAGAGCAGAACAGAAAGAGGCATGCTCGTCAGGACCGTGCCCGGTGGAAAATAGTGCATGAATCTGAAATGGAAACGAAGGAGATAGAAGGTGTGTGTGTGGGGGGGGGGGGGGGTGGCGATTAACAAGCCCACGTGTCTAGAAAGGAAAAGAGATTCATGTGGACGTGTACATTTTTTGAAATGGTTCATTTAGGGCAGAACTTTAGAAGAGGCATACTTAAGAGGACTATGTTCATTGCAAGGATTACACCCAATTATTTAGGGAAAGTTGGTCGTACCATGGCCAGTTTCAGCATTGAACATATTCAACCGAAGGAATCCTAGTCCTTGGTAAACGAAAATCCTTATCCTTTACATGCTCGTCATTTTGATATCCAAAATACTGATACAGTTTATTAATTGAGAATATTTTTCTTGACCAAGAGATATTGAACAGGAGAAAAAAGGATAAGACTTCTAACTGATATGCGGGCGGGGGCATGAAATGCCAAGTCACCTATTTGTCCGTCAAGTGATATAAAGGTTCGGAGGCCAAAATGCAATGTGACCTACTCATAATTAAGATGGCAGGGTAGAAGTAGGAGTAGCAAGAGCCAGAAGGTGACACTGATGGCGACAATTTGGATTCTGGAGTACATGAAAGAGTGTTAGTCGCTTGAAAGTGCGTGTAGTATGATCAGCTGCCGATAAATTTTTCATACACGAAAGAGAAGGGGTCATTATGAGAAGGATCACTAATACCAGTTCTGCATCAACATATGGGCGACCGGACTGTTAACTTAAAGGGCCAGATAAGGGACTTTCGGGTTTCGTAGCTGAGGAGCCGGACCTCCCCCCTCCAAAGGAGTTGTTTCCGGCCGAAGTGCGCAACCGTTGTCAGTGGTGCTGCTCGTTGGAGAGCTTGAACATGATGAAACCAAGTACCGGAGAGCCTGGACTGCCAGAAATGTGGCTAAGGGCTCGAACATAGCAGAGGTCTGGCATAGGAACGGGAGCACGGAGGCATGAGCATAACTGCATTAAATTTGATTTAGATCTATATGCAAAGCAGCTGACGTCTTTTTAACAAGAGATTCCAAAAATTGCCAACGGCTTTCCCGAGGATGTTGTAGTATGCAACCTCGAAGTTTGTGCATTTCTCTCTCCCTATTCACGACGTTATTCTACTCCTAGTATTATTGTTTATTGCCACGAAACCCGACGATTCTCTTCCAACCAAACTTCTTCAATAGAAGAGTACGATTAGCTTAATATCGATGCTAAGAAAAAAAAGAGGAAGAATGGGAATGAAGTTATGGAATACAACGATGTCTTCTATCATTATACACGCACAATAACTTGCACGACTTGAATTTCGTTGCCAAATGCATCTGAACTCTTTTTATTGGTTAATATTACCTCTTATTCTTCAATATGCTTAGACTATTCTACATCACCAGTCATTCGAGCTAAGTTTGATGAGAAAGGAGACACAAGCGGAAGATTTAAAAATCGACTCTAAAGTGATACCTTCTCTCCTCAATATTATGTCTCGCATAGGTCAACCTGACTTACTTTGGGTAAGTTCCAGTTGTCATCCATTTCAAAAGTTCATTAGTTACATCGGAGCTTCAGTCGACCAGTTCGGCTACATTTCGCGTCCTGAAGGTCTACTATACATCTACAGGAAGGATCGACAGCTTTATGATTTTCGTCGTATCACATTACCAGGCCATACATGGAAAACAGGATGGGGCATGTATGGCGCAGTGCAATTTGTCTGGCTTCCTGACTCAATCAACCCTATTGGTACATATGGCGAGCTTCGCAACTTGGTGAGAGACGATATTCCGGTTCGCGTCTGGCTTACAATATATGCTCAAACTAAATATACTGTATCGCTTATGCAACAGGATGGATTCGAATTTTTGGAATACGAGGAAGGGTTTCCTGGCGTTCGTTGTGTATTATTCTCGATGGATGCCGACTCGATCTATGGTGATAAGGTATCTGATGAAGAAGGTGCTTGTGAAGTTTGCCAGCAAATTATTTATGATCTAGCACGAGAGGAGCAAAATTTCCGCGAAAAGAACACGGCAATGAGAGTGACACACAGCGTATAGAGAATTCCCGCTCTTATTCGCAAAGGAATCTCATGATAGCTCCTCAAAATAGCTTTTCTATCGTGAGATCATCCGGCAATTTTGAAAAAAAAAAACACACACTTATAAAAATTATAGTCTATCGTGTTGTGTTGGTGACACAGTGGGGTAATGCATCATGAAATGATATGAATTGGATCCTCACAAATATTTTTTTTTGCTGATGAAATGGCAGAAATAGTATCTTCTTGGCGCCGATTACCTCTATTTTAACCTTTGTTATTTAAAAGTAACTTTCGTTATGAATATATGTGAAATTCAGTTCTTGAAGTAAACATAGGGGCTCCAAAGAAATCAAAGGCTATAGTGGGTCGAACGAACGGCTATCCACTGAGCCCGAATATGTAACTGCTTCATTAAATGATTTATTTCAATACAGCATAAACGGAAGCATGGTTGAAATGCCGTGTTAAGCGAATGTTCATCGATCGCGGCACTCCATTTGAGCCACGTCGAGAGCCTTGAAACTTCAAAATCATGGCCAGGGGTTTCATGAATCTGGGCATCAATTGGCTTGTCCTTCATATCACTCACATACTTGTGCAATTCCATACCTGCATGTGACAACATGATATACAATGATTTGGCACGGATCATCAAGAAACGATGTCCAAGTTTGCATAGTTGGTTCATATCTTCAGCAAACTCAGCAAGAAGAGCGTATCCCCATACAAAAGCGCGTGTACTCATATGGCTACAAGCCAGACGCGCGTATAAAACCGAAGCTGTTAGGCAAGCACGTTCCCCTGTCTTACCCCAGTCTTGTTGAGAATAAATTTCATACGCCTTCATTGAAATGTCAAGACAGAGCGGAAAAGACGGCGAGGTTTCAAATACAGAGATCGTACCATCGACATCAGTCACAATAGTGCCAACATTAGTTTCTTTTATTTTCCTGATAAAATCAAAGAGTGTATTTTGAAGACGATCATTTTTGTATCCACGATGAATGAACCACCAGAATAAGTCTTCCCAAAAGAACCTTTCGAAAACTTCGGGACGATATCGTTCAGCATCAGGTAATTCTACATTCCATTCAGGATTCCAGAGCCCAAGATATATGGCAGAATCTTTGGGCGATGTTGGAAACAACGCATTGATTTCATGGATCGCAGTAGTGACATTGCTAGTCCAAGAAAGAAGCTCAAATATGTCAAACAATTTCTTTCGGAATGGTGAGTATTCAAGTTTCCATGCCCTGTCACCCACAAATAAACGGTGACCAACTAGTTCAAAATACGCGGCATAGATTTCAGACGTTAAGAAAGGGGGTGACTTGTCTTCAGACACAGTACGCTCGATACCCCCCTCATTCTCAGGACAGTTGTCATCCATTTCTTCAAGTGAGTGCACAAAAAGATTTTTGGATCGATTCAATTGTATTCTCTCGCCTTCCTTCCCACTCACGAAACTGGACGATGGTGAAAGACTGGGGGGCCATACGTTAACAAGACACCCCCCAGGTTTAACAACTGGATGGCGAATAAAAATGTCAGGCATGACATCCTGTGGTGCCGGTACACCATGTTCGATTGTTCCAAGTGCTCGGATTTCTCCAACTGTCTCAAGATCTGAAGACACACTTTCTTGGGACTCAGTATAGGCATCAACGTCTTGATCTTCATGGGAGACCATTGAGAACATGCGAGATAATAAAGGGAAAACGATAGTAGGGAAGACATTCCAGGGGGGTTTATAAGATCAGTTCTGACCAGTCTGTGTTCAAAGAGTTAGGAAGCGTGCGATACGGGGTCAAAGCAGGAATGTCACAGTCAAATCATGAAAAGAGCGAATCATGTAAAGTGGATATATTCGAACTTGATGCAATACAGGGCAATAGACGTATAAAAGGGTAAAGTTCATTAGGTCATGGGGTTAACAGGTGAGGCTGTGTTGCCAAGATGTCATCACCTAAGGGCATTATTAGACTGGGACACTGGCATCTGTTCCCCACATCCTTACTCAGCACGGCGCCAAGTCTTATTCCATATCTTTCATGATCACGTGAAATACATATATTAAAGTTAGACACCTCCACTAATTTTAGCGAATTAACTGCCGTTTTCATTTCACCGGAACCTTTTCGGATGAAAATAAAACCCTGTCGGGCCCATCGACGACTGTTCATACTGATACGACCATGCTCCTGAATCTCAAATTTGTGGTCGGCCTTCTAGCTACTGCGGCAATTTCAGCAGCCTCAAATAACACTGGCTTTTCGGTGGACTTGGTCCGCCGCTCTGACAGCATTCGTTACTCTCAATTTGATGCCCAACGGACGCACAAACACCTTATGGGTATTACCTGGAAGTATATCCAAGCTTTGGAAAACTTCTTGCAAAATACCGGCAAGGAATTTCCTCTGAAATTCAAATCTCATGAAAAGCGTTCATCGGCTACTATTGATCTTGTTGATGTTCAAAATGGTGTTGAGTGGGCGGGTGAGCTTCGCTTTGGAACCCCTGAGCAAAGCATCTACTTCGACTTTGATACGGGCTCGGCTGACACGTTATGTAACCCTAATGCTTACAACCCGAAGAAATCTAGCACGTCGAGCAACACACACACCTCCTTTTCGACAGCCTATGGAGACGGCACGCAGGCCCACGGAAATATTTACACTGATGTCTTCCATGCCGGTGGTATCCATGCCAAGCATGTGGCTATTGGTCATTCTACATCTACTTTTATTTCTAGTTCGGAAAGGCCTAACCAGGGTATTGCCGGACTGGCCAACCCCTCCATTCAAGCGTTTGATTCGAAGTTCAAGCCTTTCTTCACTGACATTCGGGATCAAAAAGTTGTCAACCAGGGCGTTTTCCAGTTTACCATCAAGGCAGGTTCTGGTTCTACTCTTCAGCTAGGTCGTATCGACAAATCTAAATTCAAGGGAGATCTAACTTGGGTGAACTACAACCCCGCTCTCGGATTCTACGTGGTGCCTGCCAAAGTCAACGGCAAGTCTATCCTTACGATCATCGATTCAGGCACCACGCTCATTATTGGTCCTACTAACCAGATTCGCTCTTTGATGCAAAAACTTCCAAACGTCACTATGTTTATAAGTAACGGTGCTCTTCATGGTCGCTTCCCATGTAATAAGCCCCCTAAAGTTACATTCAACTTTGGCGGCAAGGACTTCTCGCTTGGTAAAGATCAGATCTCATATGGTAAGAGCGGCAATGAATGTGTCCTCTCCATTGTAGGTCAAGATGGTATGCCACTCAATGCTTGGATTGTGGGTGACTCGTTCTTCCAAACGGTGTCGGTTGTCTTCGATCAGGATAACAATCGCGTAGGCTTCGCCCCTCAAGCGTAGATCTACGATCATGTTTATGTATCGACTAATATTAACTAATACTTGGTTCGAAACTCCTTTTCATTTCTATTGTTGTTGTTGCCAAGCAACGCAGTTGCTACCGGCCACTCACTTGTTGTAGTCACCTTACGTAGTTTGCCTCCTTTCTATTATGTTTTCGTTAATTTATTTATAGTTGCAACAGTTGTGACTAGAAATATAAAGAAGAGTCGATCCAACTAATGATTTCTCATTTTAGTTCAGCGTTTTCCGTACTTTGACAACACAACAATTAGACTACTTTAACATCAGTAAGGAAACATGCGCGTCCCCCTGTCCATCTGAGCAATCATACACTAAACAAGTTTAAAGACTCTTCCCTACTAAACCAATGTTGTCCTCTAAAAAATGAGAAATTACAAGCACTCGAGGATGTCGACAGCACAGCCACCGCAGTCACCAGCGAAGCTAGAAATGTCCTTGACACAAACGCTCGTGCGGGTCTTGTTGCTGGCAGTAGCGCACTCAGTGATGCTCTGGGCGCACTTGCCGCAGGCCTTAAGGATATCGCCGCTGCCGAACTTGCACGAGAAGTCGACGTCCTTGACATCAGCAGTGTAACCCTTGACCGAGACACGGTCCGAGGCAGCGACGGCGGTAGCGAGGACGGCAGCAAAGAAAACGATAGACTTGTACATGGTAACTTGGGTGTTGGCGGGGAGGGAAGATCGAAGATATGTTCCCTTATATTTGTTAAGACGCTAAGCAGGAATGGTTTGGGTATTGGATTTCCACAGACCTTCGCATGCAAGTCTATATTTAGGACACATCTGGCGTCTGTCGTCGAATCTCACCGTGTGAACTTACTGCCTATTTGTCTTAAGCGTAAGGCACACGTGCACACGAAATTGGAAAGGTCAAATTAATTTCTGAAGCAGCGTTGAGACCGCAGCCAATAAGAAATCAGTTTATAGTAGATGCTCAGGGCATCTAACAACATTAGAGAGACGAGAGACCCCTTATACAGATTACAGCAAAAATCGTATCATGCTATCATTCGATCCGTAACATTAACAATTAAAGACTAGAGAAAATCAATAGGTAGATATCGTTAACGTTGAGTCTTACAGGCACTCGAGGATGTCGACAGCACAGCCACCGCAGTCACCAGCGAAGCTTGAAATGTCCTTGACACAAACGCTCGTGCGGGTCTTGTTGCTGGCAGTAGCGCACTCAGTGATGCTCTGGGCGCACTTGCCGCAGGCCTTAAGGATATCACCGCTGCCGAACTTGCACGAGAAGTCGACGTCCTTGACATCAGCGGTGTAGCCCTTGACCGAGACACGGTCCGAGGCAGCGACGGCGGTAGCGAGGGCGGCAGCGAAGAAAGCGATAGACTTGTACATGGCAGTTTGACAGTGTAGGCTCTCAAGGTGGGCTCCCACCTTATATATGTTGAAGGTATCGGCAACTTGTGCCGGGAGTTTGATTTGTAATCTGATTAGGATAGTCTATTTTTAGTCTTCCAAAAATAGACCGAAGACTCCTTCATGCAAGGGTTGACAGACCTACTAATCGCATCTGCGCTTCAGATTCTGAAAATTCTTGAAGGCGAAGGAGTCATGCGACCAATTTGGTGGCTTTTCGACGTGCCGAAAAGTCTGAGTGTCAGTCAACAACGGTAACCGACTGTTCATTTGTACAATTCAATGCCAATAGTTGTCCTACATTGTAAACAGGTTTTGAAACAATGGGCGCCTCTCGGTGATATATATTGTCAACTTAAGATAACCCACACAACCTAAGTGCAGTAGACATAGAACCTGACTACACACTTATCTCTGCGGTCGCTTAAAGATAACTAATAGTAATTTTTGGTTCAGTATAAAAACGTTAGACTATTAAGAGGCATTAAGTAGATTTTAGATTCTTGTCCTTACAGGCACTCGAGGATGTCGACAGCGCAGCCACCGCAGTCGCCGGCGAAGCTAGAAATGTCCTTCAAGCAGACGCTCGTGCGGGTCTTGTTGCTGGCGGTGGCGCACTCAGTGATGCTCTGGGCGCACTTGCCGCAGGCCTTAAGGATATCGCCGCTGCCGAACTTGCACGAGAAGTCGACGTCCTTGACATCAGCAGTGTAACCCTTGACCGAGACACGGTCCGAGGCAGCGACGGCGGTAGCGAGGGCGGCAGCGAAGAAAACGATAGACTTGTACATGGCAAATTAGGTGAGGATAGGGTGTGTCAGTCGCAGAAGCACCCTTAATATACCTTCGTGTTCAAGACAATTCTCGTACGATTTAGGATACAACTTCTTAAAAGTTGCTTGGCATTTTACACTGGACACCAGTAAGGAAAAGAACCTGTTAGATGCTTTCTTCATAAGATTGCCTGACTAACTACATGTCGACGAGGCTTCTGACGATGTCCTTTAACAAATTTGGCTCAAAGTTTGAACACGTGCCTATAAAATTATTTTGGATAGGTTGCGCTAGAGACCCTAGCACGGTATTTTGATCCAATCAAGATAGGGTACAACCGGCCGTGCGTATTTGACAGTCGCAAAGCCGATTTGAGGGTTATGACTCCCCATCTTCAATGTACCCCATTAATTGGCGTTCGAACCCCGATTGATTAGTTTAATCACAACGGATACCTAATCGTACGAGGTAGCTGTACTGAGGAAATTACGTATCTTAATCTCATATTCCGAATTACGAATTATACCAGATGTCCGTGGCTATCTACTTTTGTGTCTATGGTGATGGCCAACCTTGATCCACTATTTATGGAAAATTCATGTACTCCTTTGAAGTTGTTTGGCCTGTGCCCTATATCTGCGAATCAATCCAGTCACATATATCATACTTCGTGTCTCCTTTGTTCCTGCTTGCGCGCAGCTCGACGAATTCATTCTTGGCAATCCAACTAATGGAGCGACTTGATACGAGAAACAATAACTCATATTCGAGATACACGGCATCATATCTTAATTTCCGACAAGAATGTGAGCGGCAACTCTCATTTTCATGATACTCTGCTTGGTAGTCTCTCTCCCCAATTTCCACTTCAAGTATAAGTTGCCAACAAGCGTAAACCTTGGCACATCCCTCATGAAGTCCTATTTATGATCTTTGTAAATAGACGGAAAAATAATCAGATGCGCAATATTGTCAAAATGGGGAGACAAGGATTTTGCTAGTGAATTTGTTCAACATTAACTACATGCTCAAAATATCTGTTGCATAAGACGCTGTTGCCTCCCATTGTGAGAAGATTGTGATGACTACCAATTTCGCCGTTCCTGACAGTGCAAATGAAAGTCAATTGAAGTACTTTACATATAGACGCGAGTGGTCGGTAATCCGTTCCATCCATTACGTTACGCCAAAAAAACTGTTTTCCTTGGTCATTTAGGGGGTAAGTAGGCTTATGGCCACGGGTACTTCAAGACTGTACGACAAGCTGCTCCTCAATGGCGGACCTAAGAGTGAACTTCAAATTTTTTGACTGATCCCTGTATCATTCCAGATAACCCTGAATCCAAAATGATGTGGCTAGACTACTTCATTATTTTTTATTTTTTCTTTGGATGGTAGGTGGCAGTACCCATGGCGACGAATACCCTGCCTAAACTGCCAGTGTGAGTTAATCACAGTACACTACCTAACAAGTGCTACATGGTTGCTGTTAAAATACCCTATACGATGTGCATGATGAGAGGTCCCCAGCTTGAGAGTAGTCTCGCGTCGAGTTTGCTCTAAAGAGGCGCCACAGATTGCACTCAAGCTTAAAAAAGCGGCCTCTTCGTCAACAGCCACACTGTCAGTCATGAAGCAGAGAACCAGTCCATCTACCGCACTGCACATGCCCATGTTCTCCATTTGAGTAGACCTGATTCCAATCTCCGCCTGCTACGTCAAATGTGTCTCCGAGCGGGAGAATCCCGGGGAAAGCACCATTTGAAGCTACTGCGCAAGAGTCGTTTCTGGTGCAGGCCAACCTCAGGGCATTATGCCACTCGCCCAGCAAGAGCTGTTAGAGACACAAAAGCATGCACAATTCGTCATTAACGTAGTAGAAAGACATTCTGCAAGCGTGACAGACAGCATTACCGTTCCCACACAAAAGGTAAGACAAAGAGGCGCACGCGGACCTTCCCACTCGCAGGGTTGCAAAGCAACAAGGTGGCGAGTACCTGTGGCCTTCAAGCTGAAGACATCATCATAACAGAACGAGTTACCAGCATGCTGAGAAACAGGCACGGAATCAACCCATGCTTGTCGGCTCGAACATGGCAGTCACTCGAAACGTCAAATAGTACCGAAGGACGTGATGGACGTTTCTAATCACGTGACATCACCTGACAGCCTATTCACTCGTCTGTGTCCTGGATACCAGTCGCTTCAAAGTAGGATGGTGGCAGATCAAACCCTTGAATGATATCATCTTCGTTGAAAGCATGAGCAAGAATGTCCCTTGTCCATGCTTCTTCCTGCTCACGTGTCAAAGGACCCGCATCGTGTACCGTATGAACTTCTGATGGGCGGTTTGAAGAGGGCGGTATTGCCGTAGCTTGCTCATGGGAATATTCATCCACGAGTGCTTCAATTAAATCTTCACCGCCGCCGTCATGCGTCTCTTGAGTAGCAGTGGTAGGATATGTACTCGGCACTGGGGTATTTTCGGGTATCGGTTGTGGTGGAACACGCCTAGCAACGAGCTCTTGTGGGGTGCTCTCTGTTGACGGTAACCCAACAGACGGATTGCTTGTGACACGAGGTGATTCAGGTCTGCTTGATGCAGCATTGGCAAGGCGGGATAAACCAATGCCTGCCAAGCCCACTTGTGAAGAAGTTTCTGAGACAGGTGTTTGCCCATCCACTGACGGGTTGGACGTCCGTATGGTACCAATGCTGCCGTTAGATACACGACGGCTAGTAGATGAAATACTAGCATGTTTCAAGGACGCCGGTCGCTGTGACTGTGCCGAAGCTGAAGCTGAATTAAGTGTCTGAAGAAGCCGCGGTGGTGAGCAGTAGAGCCCCACAGGGATATTCAAGAGAACTTGAGCCTCCGGCGTTTTTAGTGGCTTGACCTGTAGAAAGTATTCCACACCAAGAGAGTGGGTATCAAAGGTGGGTGTACACCAGTTAGGGAACTGGATCCATCCAAACCACTGCTGCATCCCCGACTTGCTCAGTGATGATGTGACGACAGTCGCATGCGCAATATACTGTGAATGTGCGGCGGTAGAGCGAGCCTTAAGATGCACTCTTTGAACCAGAGCAACGTGAGGATGAACAACGAGAGGCATTTCAGCGCTGTGAACAAGCGTCAAGATAAAAGGAATAACAGCTCGAAGCGGAAATACGGCCAGCGGGTTCCCTGGGAGAGAAAGTGCCCAGCGCTCTTGCTTTGGCTTGTTGGAGCCTGTCAACTTCTGAAAGAAGGTGCGCTTAATATGTTGGCCGAGAGCTGCTTCATTTAATTGCATATAATGGGCCTTCCATTTGCTTGGAGATTCAGCTAGCGTACCGGGAATTGCGAAAGGAATAGTAGCATGAGTCACCAGGTCCTGCGTCTGAGCTGAGAGGGCTTGACGCTGAATCAGTAGCGAGCTTACTGAGTCGGGCGGGGGTGGCATATATATGAAAGGAATAAGCGTTCTGTCGTTAGAGCGGAAGAGACCAGGCCGCTCCACGGTGACCTTGAGGTACCATTTGACACTAGCCCATTCCTCACGACGCCCATGGATCGGATCACTCTCCAAGACGTAGCTAGGGGGGTAGAAACCACCTACGCCAGGGAAGCCATTAGGTAGCGTATTTTTGTTTGTCCCTTGCTCCGGAATATCAAAGTGGAAGGACCAGTCGTAATAGCCTGGACGGTCTAGTCGGCCAGATGTGTTCTTCTGGGGCGAAGACTGTTCTGTGGGCCGGAATTGCGCGGTGTCTGGACGAAACCGCTTGTCAATCTGCAGTAGAACGTGTTCGCGAGTAGAAGTAGACACAGTTGAGGGGCTCAATCCAGCAAAGTGAGACATGTCTCCATTCGTTGCCTGAGATGCCCGTGGCACTGCAATGGTAATGACCGACTTGAGTTTGATCCGTACTTCAGACGCGCGAGTTTTTTCCGAGCAGCATAATGTAACAGTCCCTGTCATCCCACCATTTCCCCTTTCCTTTGACCCACCCATGTATGTAGGTGAGATCTGAGGGGGCGTGTGAAGACTGGTAGAGTGTGAGTGCTAGTGTGAACGTACCGAACTTTGAGTGTCCCATTTGCACCTGTATACAAATGCACAGTCTTTAAATTACAAGCACCCCGTGTCAACATTCGCGTAGGAAGAGACGCACGAGCAGACGCAGGTGTGTGAGTGATGTCCAAAGGCCGAAAAGGGGGCTGTAGGTCTGTTCGCATAGAGTAGACGGAAGGGGCCCGCGATGAGCTCGTATCGCTGCCAATTTTTGCCAACTGCTGACTCAATGGAACATGTGTAATAGCTGCACGATTGCTTTGTGAGTTCAAAAGCCACTGGTCATGACTAGACATCACGCCAAGTACCAGAGCCCAATTCAGCAAGCCAAGGCACTCCCATCCTGATGCCTATGGACTTGCGCTAGTGCCCTGATTATTAGTCATCGGATGCAGCTCGGGCTTTCGGCCGACATCTCATATGCGTGCCAAACACCCCGTCTCCCGGTAGTTTGGACTGTTCAACGCGGACATTACCCCTGACCATCAACACAATCATGAAGCTCTACCTTGTGTTTGTCGCTCTTTTTGCTCTTTTCGCTGCCGTCTCTGCTCTTGACCAAACCAACAAGATGGTCCCTATGAAGGCGAACAATGTTTGCTTTAAATGCATCAAGTCGTACATCGACTGCTTCAACCGCTTCGGTGTACAGGGCTGCACTGACAAGAACGCCGAGCACCACACCTACTGCCGTGAGTGCACTGGTGTCGACCCTTCGTGGTGAGAATCTGGAAACTACATTATCAATAATAGAGTCGGTCGCTTTTATCTGTTATAGTAATTTGTCGCTGTGTTTTATCTCCACAACACCACGCACCCGATGGTACTTGGGGTTGTGAATGTATGGGCAGTTCGAGCGCGATGGAGCTTCAGCCGGCGGCTATTTCATACTACCCATACAAGCCGGGAGCCCATGCGTTTAGCTTATGAGCAGTTTCTGCCTGAATCCACGGATCGACTTGTGGCTAAGCGGACCCAGGCTTTGGTTGTATGCCATGGTCTATTTGGCTCCAAGCAGAATTGGCGGTCACTTGCCAAATCCATGGCTAAAGGTTTTGGTGTACCTATCTACACGCTCGATATGCGCAACCACGGTTCGTCCCCCCATTCCGACGACATGACATATGCGCAAATGGCCGACGATGTCAAGTCGTTCTTGCAGGAGCAGCAATTGTCGAACGTAACCCTCGTTGGGCACTCCATGGGAGGCAAGGTGGTGATGGCCTTGGCTCTAGATCCTTCTTTGCCGGAGAGTACCCTGTCGCACCTTGTTAGTGTCGACATGTCACCTGCGGAGGGCGCCATCTCGTCCGAGTTTATGGTACGCGAAAGTGTCTGACTCTAGGAATATACTCGCTGTATGGTCAAAATTGAAGATATGAAAGTACAATCTCGGAGTGAAGCCGATAAAGAGCTGCAAAAGGTTGAGTCTGTAAGTCTTGCTCTGCTTACCGTAAAGAATCTACCGGTGCGCCAGTTCCTCTTGACCAATCTTGAACGTGATGAAGAATCGGGCACCATGCGCTTTCGGATCCCTGTCAAGACTCTTTTGCACTGTCTGGAAAGTATCGGCCTCTTTCCGTATTCGCCACCGAAAGATGACTCGTCGGCACCCGAGCGTGTTTGGAATGGTCCCACCCTTTTTGTTAAAGGCGAGCACAGCAAGTACGTTTGCACTACGAAGAACTAATACCAGGTATATTAACCGACACAATCTGCCTCTGTGTCGTGCATTCTTCCCTTCCATGAAATTGGTGACGTTGCCAACAGGGCATTGGTGCCAGTCCGAGAAACCCAAAGAGTTCATGCAAGAGCTGCAGGCCTTCCTTGAAAAATAATGTTTAGTGGTACTTGGCCATGTAGACTCCTTTGGTCTCGTAGCCGCACTTGACATAGAAGGGCACGTTGTCGTCACTGCAGTCCAGCAGTGTTTTGTAGGCTCCCGCGCTCTCGCTTAGAGCCGTAAGAGCTTGGATGAGGATTTTTCCGAGCCCTTTGCCTTGCATGGAACTGTCCACAGCAATGTCTTCAATGTGGGCAGCGGTAGCCAGGGACCGCAGGAACTTGGGCTCAAGGAACACGGTGCCAGTGGCCACAAGTTGGTCAGTGTCTTTCGAGACAATCACCGTAATAAAATACTGGCTTGCTGATTGCTTCGAATGACTCAAAATACGGAAGCGCTCCTTCCATGCCGCCTCACCAGGATCGGCTACGCTCGTCAGCGAACCAAGGACTCGGAGGTGACCACGCGCATAGTCACTCGATGCCAGGGGACGGACCTGAGTGAGAGAACAAGGCACGTACATGTAGGTTATTCTGATCGAGCTTCTCGTTCAGCTCAGCGGGAATTAGCTCAGCAGGAAAGGCGAGCTCCAGCTCGGAATCAGGTGTGAAAGGCATGTCCGATGTAGAAGCGGTAGGTCTGGTGGACCACGCACGGGCCGTGCGTTTCGCCACGTGATAAGACAGTTACCAATCCAGGGCAACGACTCGCCCAGCTTATGCGCTCATGTGGACGCGTGTATTAAGGGGTGTGCGCCTTGGAGCGCTGGGTAGCAGAAGCCTTGTATCAGCCTACCGAAAAGAGTTCAAGACAGGCTATAAGATCTTACCTTTGGCCCTGGCAGGAGTAGCAGCCAGTACTGTGGCACTGTATCCTCGCACTGCGGCACTGGAGGCATCTCACGGCCGTTTGGTAACGGAGTCCAAGTCGTCCATGGATCTGCCCGTGTATATCAAGACGGACAGCACAATGGTGTCCCCTGATGGTGTGCAACTCCGTCTCGTCGGCATGGGCGTACGAACTGTAACCTTTTTGGGCGTGTACGTGTACGTGGCAGCGCTGTATGTCGAAGAGAAGGCAATAGCTGCTGCGAAGCCTGCCTGGGCCACTGGCGGCCAGGATTTGGAGGCACAGGTGCGCAGCTGGATCGAGGAAGGAACGGCTTGCGCGGTGCGTGTGATGCCCGTGCGCTCCACGGACTTTAGTCACCTTCGTGATGGCTTGCTGCGTACCGTGCAAACCCGCGCAAAGGATGCACGTCTGCCAGGTACTACCTATACACTCGACGAAGCAAGCGAAGACAGCGTGTCCCAAAATGTGCAAGATCTCAAGAAACTATTTCCACGGTCCAAGGTCTCTAGGGGACAGACGCTTGATTTGGTGGTTGAGAAGGCACAGAGCGGCTCTTACGTTTTAACACTCCAGCACAATGGGTGCACACTGGGCCACGTACAGAGTGCGCCCTCGTCCTCTTGTACATTCACGGTGCCAACGGGTCTACTACTGGCCTACATGGGCGAGCGCCCCGACATTAGCGCTGCCCTCCGCGCATCTGTGGTCGCTGGTCTCCAGCTCGACCTTCCGTAGGTCAAGAAAATTGAACCACTCCATTGAATATGGTCCTAGCTACGAATTCGGATGCCGCGGTCCTGAACACCGTTGGGCGTGTATCTGTGGTACTTGCCGGTCTTGTCGATGTGGTCCATACCGAGCACGTCATCCGGCGAGAACTTGTGATCAAAGATCACGTCGTCGTCCTCCAGGTACGTCGGCAGCTTGTACTGCGTGACCTGGATAAGCGCAAAGCGGATCTTTTCAAATTCACGGTCTGGGATGTCCAGTCGAGCTTGCAGGCGACGCTTGGTGTCAGCGAAGCGCTCGGCGCGCTTGATCACAAAGCGGAATGGCACACTGTGAATGCGCGTCACATCCTTTGTGAAATGACAGACCTGGACAACCTTTTCGTCCTCGGACAAGTTGAGCTCCTCAGGCCAAATCTCCTCGGCAAACAGCTCCATGCCGTCCGGCAAATTGTTAATGCACTCGTGCATCGAGAGCTCGCGCTGCTGCTTCCCCATCGCCGTCGTCTCAAAGATGCGCATCTTTTGGGTGCCCGTCGGGCGCATCGGGACCAGTTGTGTGAGCTGCTCAACCAAGTCGTGCACATACGACGCCTTGGGCATGAGGAACAAATGCGGCTGGATTTCCTCTCGGTTGAACGCACCCATCCAAAAGACCCGAAGCGAACGCTTTGACTCCAGCTCCACGATGCTAATGTCTAGGAACTCGTAGTAGAGGAGGCTTGCGTGGCCCTGGAGATAGCTAGAGTGGATAATTTCACTTACGGTTTGGTTCGCAGAGCGCCGAAAGATGGTCTTAGGAGTGCCGTTCGGGCCATTGGCCGCAGTGAAGCGCAGCTTTAGCGGGTCGTGCTGCAATCGCTCACCCACCTTCGTCGCAAGCATGTCATAGGTCATCTTGCGATTCAGCGTCATCTCAAATTCTTGCGAGCAAGTCTCACTAGGCTGGCGAGGCTTAAGGAGCACGTGGACCTGGTTCTGCAACATATCGTAGAACTGTACCGGGTTCGAGCAGAGCTGCTGCACTTCGTAGTCCGCGGCGTCCTTCTCCGACAGCTCAATCTGGAAGCAGATAATGTCGCCGTCCTGGATCTCACTCTGCTGGAACGTTGACTTCATCTTGAGTACCTCAATCATACCAGGCTTGATCTCCTCGTACAGCTTGACATGGGTACTCGGCGGCCAGCGCATCAGCTCATTGATTGTCGGCACTAGATCACCCACCTTCATCTGGCGCTGGACATACATGCGCGAGACGCCCAGCAGTGACTGCCGCGACGTGTCAAAGTACTTGAGGAACACCATGATTGCATTGCCAGGCGTGTCGGGGTCATAGTGGCGCATCGCCAGGCTCGTTGGATGGATCAGTTCCATAAACAGCCGCAGGTCGTGCTGGCGCGAGGCCATGCGCTCACGCACAACATCCAAAGTCAGGGCGGGATCATTTTCTGGCATCACCGCGTCAGGCCGAATAGTCTTGTTCTGGCGGTTTACCAGCACCCACAATCGCACGAGGTGCGGCGGTAGGTTAAAGTGCTGGGCGAGACGGGCCTTGAAACTGATAGCCGGTTCATTTTTCATAACACGGAACGTAGGCACATCCGTGGGGCGCAGCGAGCGATCGTCCAGCGTGGCAATGTCAAAGCCCTGGTGACGCTGGAAGATCTCCTCCGTAACAATCTTGACCGTGAGGTAGAGGTGCTGTTCTTCACGCTCACGGCGACGGGCCTCCAGTTGCAGGCGTTCATCCTCCAGACGTTCGCGCACGTAGGCAGGGATCTCTTCAATCGTAATGGGGCGCAGAATCTCGTCGATCTTCGACTCGCGTATGTACACAAGCATGTACGCATTCGTGAACCGCTTCATCGCGCGCACAGGTGCCGTGTTGGAAAGCTGGTTCTTGTTCATGTGAAGCGGCGGTAGAACCTCGCCGCCGAAGTTGTCTTCGAGCACTTCCTTAAGTGTCGCACGCGTCACCCGATCGTCGTCGAAACGGAACCAGCCACTGTTGGCCTCGGGCTTGATGAGGGCAAAATAGTGACCACCGTGCAAGTCGCCCGAGTGCACCAACACACCATGCAGACGATATACCCACGGCTCCCCTTTCTTTTCGTCAATGACATACGGCGCAAGGTCAATCGATAGTGGGAACTCGTGGCGGTCGTTGATCTTCACCATAGTATCGCGCATCATATCATACTCGAAGCGCTTCAGTTGGAGATGCAGGACGGGCGGGAAATGCTCGAAGATGACACCCTTCTCAGCATCCTGCAGGCCATAGCCTTCAGCATGGTATTTGTTGTCGCCTTCGAGCATTTCGGTTTGGATGTAGTTGGCGAACGAGTCCTCCAAGTTCGCCATACCCTTGACGTTGAGCTGGATGTCGTAAAAGTCTTCGGAGCGCGAAGACTCGTAGTCCACATTCACGCAGCGCAAAAAGCTCTTCATCTTACCGACAAAAAGACGGGAAATGGCGCCATCGGCAGCTGTGCCCTTCATCTTCTCCTCTAGCTTCTCCTGCAGGACACGATTGAACTCTTGCACATCATGCTGCAAGAATGTATCAAACGACTTCCAACCGAACGACTTGGTCAGTTCCGTCGTGCCCACAGACTGGTTCGAAGTCTGCAGCAGATAAAACGCACGCTGCAGCGCGTATGCCACGCTCTCCGTAGGCACATCCTGCTCGGTGGGGATCTGGTACACGGCACGACGGAAGTAGTTGGTGAAGTACAGCGATTGGAGCAGCGAGTTCATGTAGCAGGTGGCGCCCTGGTTCTTAATGCCCACATAGCCCGTCTCCTTTTTCGAGTCGTAGTTAATAAAGTTGTGCCATAGCACACCCGTCGGGTCCTTGAGCACACGCACATAAGCCGACACAACGGCCTTGTCGTCCTCGATAATCGGGCGCGTGTTGGGTTCCACGGCTGTGGTCAGCTTGCGAAACTCGTTGAAGCGCGTGAAGCCCCAGTCCATTTCCTCAGCGGTAAAGCGGTGGTGAGCTTGACTCGAAGAGAACAGCGTTGGATCGTTGGGGTTCGAGATGACGAGCGCAAACTGCGCACAGGCGTGCCAGCCAGGGGGCGTGTCCTCGTTATCAGCATAGTCGAGGTACACAGAGACCATGTCGTAGGGCTGTCCATTAGAGTTACCAAACGGGAATAGGAGAATGCGCCAGCGATGACCACCACACTCAAACTCAGGCCCGGTTATGCGCTTATCGAGCGAATGCCAGGACTCGATCGGCCAGTGGCAAACTTGAAAGTCCTCTTCCTCCTGACCGAGGTCCGCCAGATGGCGGTTCGTGAAGGCTTCGTAGTCCATCACACTAATGCGCGGAAGCGGTCGTGGCGTCTCGTCGACATTTGCAGAAAGGGGATCACTGGGCTTCATCACAGTATCTTGTACGTCCATGTTGGCAGGGCCCAATGTACGGTTCTGCGTGAGATGTCGTGCGGTCGTACCTAGCTTGTACCACACAGGCTCACCTACCAGTACACTCTATTCCTCCTTAGTTCCACAAGGATGTGGGTCAAGAAGCAGGGAGTGCCAAGTTCGGGGGGTGGTGTCGACACAGTGGTTGTCACGAGAGAAGCAGCGGAGGTGGCGCGCTGGAACTTGCGCGACTCGGCCGTCGAAGGAATGTGTACCCATATGGACCCTACGCAAATGCTCAAATAGGCTGCTTGCTATGGGACGAGCGCAAATGTGCGTACTACGAGATATCGTGCTCTGGGACGGGCGTCGTCGAGGCTACAGCATGCGGCGTCCTCCCCCGAGTCAACGTGCGATGTCACTCGGCCGAGTGCATGGTGGAGTTTGGCCAGCCAGGCCTTGCCCGAAGCGCGAGCGGGGTGCGACAACGATGGAGCGATTGTGGACGGCGCTGCAACCCATCGCCCAGAGGCTGACGAATGTACCCAAGGAAGAGGCTCCTGTGGTCTGGGAGGGCACGATTATGAACGTGAAGCTGGCGTTCCGCCCTGCGCAGTTCTACGTGCAGGGTGCGCTTGTGGCACTCAGCGTGTTGTACCTCCTGATCGCGTTCGCGGGACGCGCCGTGAATCGCTGGCGTGTGCGCGCATGGCACCAGCGCTTTGGTGCAGCGCTTCAGAAAGAGTTTGTGCAGGTCGGTGCGGATGCAGCGAGCGCACAGCCGGTGCTGCTGTGGAACGGCCCCAACGAGGCCTGCCTCTTTGCAACGGGCCGCCGCGGCATTGACACACTGCATGCCAACGTGTGGCTGCGCCCTTGGCACGATATCCTGTATATTTGTGTGTCTCTTTTGTACGATGTACTGGCGCTACCGGCCGTGCCGTGGTTTGGGCCTGAAACGGTCACTGTGCAGATGGCGCTGCCGTCGTCGCCACGTGTGAATGGTGGTACTTTTGCCATCATTGGCAAGACGGAGCTGGTTCCTGCACGCCATGGTCGCTATGATATGCTATTTGCCAAGGTACTCGATGCGGAAAACGCGAGTCGTGCGCGGGGCCTGGACGAGCGGTTTGCGATTGCCACCGAGTCGGGCGACATTACCGACAAGTGGCTCGGCGAGGTCGGACCGCGCGGCGATGCGCAGCGCGCCAAGCTGGGTCTCATCGACACGCTGAACAGTAACGCAGGCCGTCTGTTAGTGAGTCTTTTGTTCACGGACCAGCCGCGCCTGCAGCCCGAGTACGAGGCGGTGCCGGAGACGCAGCGTGTCGAGCGGCTCGAGCTGACGATGCGCCTGCCGCGCACAGCCGTTCAGTTGGAAGGGAGCGTGCAGCTGTTGACCCTGTGCATGGACCTGATCGATGCGCTGCACCTCACAGCGACTGGCAAGTCGAAACTCATGGCCCTGCGACCTGAGACGCATGTGGCCCTCAAAAAGACACGCGCGGAAGCTGCTGAGGCTCTTTCGGAGATTCTTATGCGGGACACCAAGGCGGAGGCCGCTGAGGCTGCGGAGGAGGAGCGTCTCCGCCTGCAGAAGGAAAAGTTCGACAAGCTGTCGCCGGCCGAGCAAGCCAAGCGCAAGGAGCTAGCCAAGCGCCGCAGCCAGCGCAAGGCGCAGATGAAGGAGATGCGCCGCCGCATGTAGTGTGCTATCTACTTTCTCTACAAACCTTCGTCCATGCGAGACACCGCGGGCACGACGGGCGCCGCGCCCGGCATTGTAGGAATGTGTGCCGCCTGAGCCCGAGAGGTCTCTGCATGCTCCAGGTGCGCCAGCACATCCGACGACGACTTCTTCTCGTCGTCAATCTTTGCCACAGCGCGCTCCATAAAGACGACCAGCTTGGTCTCATTGCAGAGCACTTGAAGTGCCTCGTGCTCCTCAGCCATGGCTGCTTCCAGACTGCTAAGCTGCTCTTCCGCCAGACCAGGGAAGCGTGTTCGCAAAATGTCCGTGGTCGGCGGAGGGATCTGGCACAGCACCTCAGGCTCCACAAACATATTGAGCGTGGTGAGGTCCAGCAGCACAGCGCAGGCGGTCTGGAAGGCCACCGTTCCATAGATGCGCTCCAGCACGTCGTCGTCCGAGAGCGTTGTGACGTCACCGAGCTCGTACCAGTCGTCTAATAGGTACACGCGGCGCCAGATACACGCCAGGGTGGCGTCGCGCTCATCCGATGGCTCCGCCATTCGAGCCAGCAGCTGAATGGCTACCGTCGAGTCATTGAGTGCGGCCTCAGGGCGCGCCGCAAATGAGCGATCATGGAGGGAGAGCAGCTCAGCCATATCCAGCGCTGTGACCACCCGCGCATCAGCGACCGAGATGGCAAGTTCCACAAACAAGGCGCGCAACGCAGGCTGCTGGTCCAGACGCGTAGCCAGGGCCGAGGCGACATTTTCAGCAAGAACCTCCGGAGTGGATGTTGCCATCATAAGCGCATCGCACCAGCGCTTGAAAAGACGTCGCTGCACCATGACCAAGTCGAGCGCATCGTCCCAGTCTTCCAGCTTTTGCTGCACGTGCTCCTCCTCAATGGACGGCGACATGAGCGAGCCAAGGTACATGAGCTTGCTGAGGCTAAGCATGGACTGCTTGTCAACCACATTCTCTTCCTCATCGGCGCTCTGCCGCAGCGTCGAGCTGGCAGCGGCGAACTGATCCACATTGATGCCATGGAGCCACGAGATCTTGGCATAGCGCTCATGGCGCTCAAAGAAGGCCGTGACAAGGTCCGCATGCTCAGTGCGCGGCTCGAGGAGGCGGCGAAACTCGCGCTGTTGGATGTAGTACAGATACAGCTCGTCTGCAAACTCGAGGCCGAGCGTGTCGAGGTAGTGTTCGATACGCACATCGACGGGGCTGTTCTCACTGTCCGCGCGGCGCTCGTTCATGCAGAGCTGCACGAGCGTGCGATAGTCGCCGTGGCGCTCAGCAAGCTCATACGCCTTGTCGCTGCATCCGACGGACTGCAGCGAGTGCAGCAGACGCGAACGGGCACGCACAAATGAATCCGCCACGTCCGAGCGTGTCTTGTCCGTAAGCATGGAGGCCATGCGCGCATCGTATGCGCCGAGAATCAGCTCGGCGAGCGCACACATGTGGGGACGACGCTCCGCATCGACAATGTCGGCTTCGTGGCGCTGCAGCGCTAGGTCGAAGAGGCTCTCGAGCAGCTCAATGCACACGCTGCTTGCGTACCATGGCTCAAACTCGACCTGCGGGATGAGCGGCAACAAGTACAGTTTCGTGTTCTCCTCACGGTAGCGCACCGAGCCTAGGAGCAGGGCCAGCGTAAGACGAGTGCACTCCACACTGTTTTCAGGACTGAGCAGGCGGCGGAGCGCATAAAAGAGCGTCGGCACCTGTGCCAGGCTCGTCTCGAAGAACAGGCGCTCGTTGCGTGTGCCTAACACGAGTTCAATGGCCTCGCTCAGCAACGACATGCGCGCGCCTGTATCGTAGTAGCGCCACAGGTCGCCTGCGCCAGCCAAGAGCTCGGCATTGGCACGCAGCATTGTACGCAGCGTCACCGAGAGGTGCACGAGGTAGCCGCTGCTGCCAAGCACCTCGATCAGGCGTTGTGCGAATGCAGAGCGCTGCGCTAGTTGCGTGCGAAGATCGACGGTGGGACGCAGCCGACGCAGCGAGCTGTCAAGGAGCCGCGAGCTCACGCGTCGTATGGCAAGCTCGACGAGGCCCTCGTCCATGTGCTCCGGCAGCGCATCCAGCTGCAGCGGGTTCTGTGGCTCGTCGAAGCACATCGCACGCTCCAGGCACTCCTCCAGACGACTCGCCCGCGCGTCCTGCGCACGGGGCGAATGGGACTGCAGGTCCTGCATGTGCTGCATAGCGCGCTGCGCATCGACGTACACATGAAGCATGCCGCTCTCCGACGTCAGGCCAATCCAGTGCACACATTCGGGGTCGGTCGGCACGCACCCTCCCACGATCCGGTTCGAGCCGTCGCGCAGGCGCAGTGACTCCTCCTGGTGCGTGTGCTCGCTGAGCAGCACGGCCACCACAGCGTGTGTGAATGACACAAAGGCAATGGTGGGGTGCGACTGAGACAAGCGCAAGGTCGGCATCGAGTGTGCGCGAGGGTCATGAGCCTGCTCGTACTGCAGCGTCACCCACTGTTGCACGTTCAGGGACGTCGCGGTCGGCTGCAACGGCAGAACGGCAATGCCGTAGTGTGCCGTGGACTGTGACTCGTCCTTCACGAGGAGCGCCAGCATATTTGATACGCTGTCATAGGCACCATCAATAATCTGGATCTGCTGAGCCATCGCTGCGCTGTACCGCGTGCCGCTGAGATAGAGTGACCGGGCGGCAATCGTCTTGCCGAGGTCCATGTCGGCCATCACGAACGCCGGCGCCTGCGTCTCGGCAAAGGTGCCCACTGGCAGGCGCCACACGTGTGCAGCGCCCACGCTGACAGCCACAGCAAGCACATGGCCCGTGTCGACGGGTGCACTGACCACCAGGGCCTGCACGGCCAGCTCGCCCTCACGCATCGAGGAGCCGCCGAGCCAGCGACCAAGGAGGCCACGCTGCACCGCAAGCTCGTCCACCACGAGATTCTGCTGGTCGTGGTGCATGCGTACGCAGATCCGGAATAGGCGACCCAGTGATGTACCGGTCAGGACTTGGCTATTGTTGACGCGGGATACCGCTGTCACACGCTCCGCGCTGCGCAGTGGGAGTGATGGCAGGGCCGCAGAGGGGTCCGAGTCTGAGGTGAGCGCATCGCTCAGAGCGCTCCAGAACGATAGACGGCCCGAGGCTGAGCACAGCAGCACGGCAGGCTCGGCGCTGGCGCTCAGGGGACGTGGCAGAAACGTGCAGAACGGCGGCTCTGCAGGAGCGGCGCAGACCGGCGCAGGAAACTGGAACGCGGTAGGTGCCGCCGAGGAGCAGCGCCAGGCCAGCACATGTTGGGCGGTGGCGCAGAAGGCCATGTCGCTGTCAGCATCTACTCCACCCGTCGACGCTGCGGCGTACGTGTCGGCGCGGAGGGCCTCTTGGACGGCGGATGGCAGCGCAGGGGCGCGTTGAGCTACTTGCACGATCGAGTCTGCAAGCAAAAGAGTCATATCGCGAGAGCCCCGTGGAAGGAGGGTGGGCGTGACTGCGTCGCTGTGCCCAGGGTCCATGGTGGGGGAGGGCGACAGGGACACCACGTGGAGGGCGCTTTTTCATGGCCGACGACCGCGCTGCACCCGCGCTCGGTGCGCCTGCGGCGGGTGACTGTGCTGACGACGTGCTGGCGAGCAATCGGAGAGTAAGCTCGCCATTTATGGTGACAAAGATGCAGCGCGAGGCGGCCAGAGCGTGGGACAAATTCTACAAGGCGCATGAGGACCGGTTTTTCAAGGACCGTCACTGGACGGACCGGGAGTTTGAGGAGCTCAAGGCGGACCCGCCGGAACTGATTCATGGGGATGTGCCGGTGCTGCTGGAAGTGGGGTGTGGCGTTGGCAACACGGTGTTTCCTCTACTCGAAAAGAATCCGGCGCTGCGCGTGCACTGCTGTGACTTTTCCCCGCGCGCCATTGACCTGGTGAAGAAGCATCCCCAGTATACCAGCGATCGCGTCCATGCGTTCGTGTATGATCTGGTACAGGGCCGCGATCGTGGTGAAATGGCTCGCGCGCTTGCGGAGTGCTCCGCGTGGCCGCCGGTCTCGACGCTCTCGCTGATCTTTGTCATGTCTGCGATCCCTCCGGACGACCAGCTGCCTGTGCTGCGCGCGCTCGTGCAGGTGCTGCCGACGGGTGCCACGGTCGTGTTCCGCGACTATGCGCGCGCGGACCTGGCGCAGCTGCGATTCCATACGCGCAAGGACGCGCAGTGGTCGGAGCCCAGCCTCTTGAGCGATTCGCACGACTGGTACCGCCGAGGTGACGATACCATGGCCTACTTTTTCACCCGCGACGAGGTGCAGCGCCTCTTTGACGCCGTCGGCGGCCTCGAGGGCGAGGTGGAGGAGGTCGTCAAGACACGCACGAACCGCCGCACGGGTGCGGTGATGGAGCGGCGCTTTATCCAGGCGCGGCTCCGGCGAACAGCCTAAATAGCTATGAAGACGCGTGCACGCGAGGGGCCATGGCGACGCGGTGGCCTGCGGCGCGGTACGCCGCACGCCACTGCGCGTCGTTCGACGACGGCAGCGACTCGGTGCGGATGACCGAGCCGATCGACATGAAGAAGCCGAACGTGGCCGCGGAAGAGAGCATGTACTGGGCGAGTGTGCCCATGACGCCGCGGGGACCAGGGCCGCCGCTGTGCGTGTGAGTTGCGACATACGTACCGCAGGATCTGGAAGCCACCACCGATGAAGCCGATCGTCAGACCGACCAGCGAGCCCATCACGGCGCCCATACCGACTGCATAAGAGTGCTGTACATACGCTTGGACATGACAGACTGCTGTGGCACAGCCTGTTGCACATAGATCTGCTGGTTCGGCGCACTCATCGCGGCAGAGGACAAGAAGGAGTGGCGCTCTGCATGGGCGTTATGTCGTACTTCCCAGTAGAGGCCCCTGCGCAGCGACGCATCCCCCGCTCATGGTGGTGGCAGCGCGGCTTCCAACGCTCGCGCGTGCGGGCGCTCTAGCGCGCAAGATTGCGCTGCACTGTGGGTACGTGGTGCATGCTCATGGAAAGCGACATTACGCAGTGTACGTGGCGCACGCTAACGGCAGTGGAGATTGATGCGATTGTGAATGCAGCGAACCCGACGCTGCTTGGTGGCGGTGGCGGTGCGTACCACGAGCTGACCGCAGTGGATGGCGCGATCCACCGCGCAGCGAACGATCCACGCTTCCTCGAAGAGTGCCGCGCCCTCAACGGGTGCCGCACCGGCGAGGCGAAGACGACGGGCGCGTATAAGCTGCCGTGTCGGTATGTGATCCACACCGTGGGGTACGCACAGGGCACTCACGCAGGCCGATATGTATGTGCATGCTAGCTCAATGCAGACCGAGAGCACAGTGAGTCCGAGGCCCATTCCCTCTTGCAGGCGGCGTACCGCCACAGTCTGCAGCAGGCGGTCCAGTGGGGCGCTCGTTCCTTGGTACGTCAGCGCGGCTCATGCAGGCCTTTCCGTCGATTTCTACGGGCGTGTACGGCTACCCGAAAGAGGCAGCGACACATGCCGCTGTCGACGCAGTGGCGCAGTTCCTGCGAGGTCCCCAGGGCGAGCGGATCGACCTCGTGGTGTTTTGCTGTTTTTCGCCCGGCGACCTGGCGCTGTATGAGCGCATCGCGCCGATGTACGCCGACGCAGGCGCTACGTAGCCGTCTACCAGAGCTGGCGCACAAGGTGCCGGCGATGGGGCAGATAGTCGATGCTCTCGTCGGGCACATGGAGAGCGTGCCTGTGCAGGCGCATTGGAGCGGGCACCGCGGATCGTCGCCCGGCGTGCAAAGTCTCGCGGAGCACGGGGCGCGTCCATGCAGGACGTCTGCGGCGGCGGAAGAGGTCAGTGCGCTCGGTACACTTGGCCCACTGGCCGCACACTGCCTTTGATCCGGTCGCGGCGCGCTGTAGCCCCCGGTCGACTCGACTCATGGAACGTAGCCATGCTCTAGGAGGCGCATCGCCACATTGCCTGGCGACCACTTGCGCATGCATGAAACGCCAGAGCGGCAGAATGGGCGCAGCATCGCTTTGACTGTGGGAAGCAAGGCCCGTGACGCAAGGCATGCGCAGCGAAGAGGACACGCAGCAGCTTTTCAGCGAGGACCGTGCGCGGCGCAGCGCATGCCACTCCGTAGGCAGTGCCGCGGAGGCGCCATCGTCTCCATCCTCTGGCCCGCGTGGTGCGGCACCATCGTAGCCGCCTGCATGATCGAGCGCAGGAGCTGGACGGTCGACGGGATCGCGGGACCGGGGTCGCCATGCTCCATGGGGAGGAGCGAGACGATGAGGCACACCTCGCTCCGGGCGGTCAGGGAGAGGTGGCACGCAAGCCAGGGCGGTAGGGCTCGGCACCACACGCAAGCGCGATGGCCGCGAGCGCCATGGGGTCATCGTCGATGTGCTGGACCATGTCGCGCTCGAGCATCTGGACCCACGGCCCGGCAGGAAGCAGATCTTGCAGAATCCCTGTATCTCGAGCCATACGCACTGGGCCCCTCCTGACCACGTCATGCACGCGCGCCGCGTCCAGGGACATTGTCACCCCCTGGTATGTCCCCAGGGCGAGGCGGTGCTAGGCGAACTTGAGAGCTGTCTCTGTCAGCGGGCTGTCGGCAGGGGGGACATGCAGGCTCCGCCGGAGCCTCGTGAGAGAGAGACCGTCGTCTCGCTGCTCCTGCAGGCGGCGGACGACGCTGCCAAAATCCGCATCGACACTGGCGTCGGGCGCGCGTGGTACGCCCTCTGCATCGCTCTCGCCGACCTGGAGGCGGCGCAGCACATTCGTAGCAAGACGAAAGCGCGCGCCTGCCATTTCTTCCTGGAAGTGCAGGATCTCGTACTGCTCGTTCAAGGCGCGCGCCGAGTCGACGGCCCTGTCCATCTCGGAGAACATGTCGGCGACTGCAGCCTCAGCTCGGTACACTTCGTCCATGATCCGGCCCATCTCCGAGTGCACGCCGTCCAGCACCTCGAGGAAGCGCTGGTCCGCCGCGTCCTCGGCGTCCTCGACGTCGTCGTCCAGATAGTCGACAACATCGTCGACGCAGGTCGGCGCCGAGTCGAGGGCGTACACCGAGTCGAGCGAGCAGAGCGCACGCTCAATGCGCGGCGCATCGCTCGGCGTGGGGATCGCAAGCGGCGGCGGGCGCTCCATGCGGCGCGCGGGGCGGCGGGGGGATGACGCCATCGGCAGCGGCACAGCGGCGTCACACGTGCTATTCGCAGGCGGCTCGCTGGTCTCAGACACGCGCAGCGTGGTCACAGCACCCCCACGAGCCAGGGGCGACACAAGCGTCGAGCGCGGGTCGATCGGCTCGTCGACGGGCGCGGGTGGAGGGCCACAGGGCCGAGCCGGGGCGCCGCCCCGCAGCGGCAGCGCAGGGCGCGCTGCGGGCCCCGCCGAGGCGAGCGGCGAGGTGAGCGGCGTCTCTGTTCCGAAGCTGCTGGTCGTGTGGGGCGCGTCGAGGCCTAGACGCGAGACGGGCGGCGACGTCGGAGAGCACGAGCGGTCACAGATCGGCACGGGCATGGCGGGACACGGGGTGTCAGGTGTGCATTTATAGTGGCAACTACCGGAGAAATGACGGCGACGAGCACATGACAGCGAAGGGCTATGCATAGCGGCGCGCCATGTACCGCTGCTCGAGCGCCCGCAGCACGTCCCACCACGCGCTGTGATTCGCCTCGTCCGCCGCCTGGACCGCGGCCACCAGGTCGCGCCCGAGCCCCGCGGCGACCTCGGCATGCGCCTGGTCCACCTGCACCTGCCAGGCGGCCTGAGCGCCGGGCGGCGCCGGCGCCTTGGCCCAGATCAGCGCTTGCGTCGCACACAGCCCGATGCACTGCTCGAGCGCCTCGTGCATGCGCCCCTCGCCGCGGCGGCTGCGCGCCGTCAGTGTGCTCGCCAGCTCGAGGAGCGTGCCGAGCGACGCAGGCGCCCCGGGCGCCACATGCAGCGTCGGCGCAATGAGCGCGGGGAGCTGCGGCCACGCGGCCGGCTCGTGCGTGAGCACGAGGTCCGCGCTGCTGAGCGCCCACAGCAGCGCGAGCAGCAGGCCCAGCGCCTCGTCGACGGCCACCTGCGCGGCGCGCGCAAGCGCGTCGGCCCCCTCGGCCTCGAGGCCGAGCCACGCGCGCAGCTCCGCCGCATGCGTCGCGAGGTACGCGAGCGACGGCAGCAGACGCGGCGCGTGCTCCGCAAGCACGTCGCCGAGCGGGACGTGCGCGCGCGCGTGCGCGCGCGGCGTGTCCTGCGAGGCGCGCGGCGCCTTGGCCGCCCACATGCCGTGGAAGAGGCGGAGTGTCGTGCGCACCTCGTGCAGCTCCGCCACGTCCAGGCGCCGGGCGTGCGTGAGCGGCGCCCACGCGAGCGCGCGGCGCAGCTGGCCGCCACACATGTGCACGAACGCATCGACGTCCGCGTCCACGAGGTGCGCGCGTGCCTCGGCGCCCACATTCTCCACGATGCGCACGACGGTGCGCAGCACGAGCAGCCACGCCGCGTGCATCGGACTCGGCTCGCCGGACGGCAGCGTCGCGTCCATGCACCCGTCCTCGAGCGCCGCACTCAGGGCGTGCGTGCCGAGCGCACGCACGATGCCTGCGTGCGCGAGCAGCTCGCATGCCGCAGGCTGCGCCGCCAGCGCCTCGAGCAGGCGCACCAGCGGCGCAAAGAAGCGCACATGCGTGCGCGGCGCGCCGGCCCACTCGCCGGCCGCCGCGAGCGGCGCGTGCGCGAGCAGGTAGCGCACACCACGCAGCACGGACGTCTCGCGCAGCGGATGGAGCCACACACTCGGGGGCACACACGCCATGCCCGCCTGCACGACCGCCACAAGCACATCCAGATCGTACTCTGCGCGGCGCGCGGCCTCACTCGACGGCACATCCAGCAGGGGCGCAAGCGCATCGAGGCGCGCGAGCACATGCATCGCATGCGCCATCACCGCCGAGAGCGCCGCCACCGGCTCGCCGAGGCGGCGCACCGCGAGGATGACCGCAAGCATGCACTCGAGCAGCGGCGTGCGCGCCTCGGCGCTCGCGGACTCGGACAGCGCCGCAGGAAGCGCATACGCAGGCACATCCAGCGTGTGCGCGAGCGCCTCCGCCATCGCACGCGCCGCAGGCGCCTCGAGGCGCGCGTGTGTCGCGCCGAGCAGCGCCGCCCACAGGCGCAGCACGTGACATCGCTCGTCCGCCGCCGCGAGCGGCGCGAGGCGCTGCGCCAGCGCGCTCAGCGCACGCTGCAGCGGCGCAGCGTCCGCGCCAGCGAGCAGGTAGGGCAGCGCGGCGCGCAGCACATTCGCCCACGCATGCGCGCGCTGCGCCTGCGCATCGAGCGCGGACCACGCGAGGCCCACGCGCGCCGCGCACGCCTCGGCCTCCGGGACGCCCGGCGGCACGCGCGCCGCGAGCGCAGGCATCGCATACATGTACGCCGGCCCAAACGTGCGGCACTGGTCGTAGTCGTCGCGGCGCGGCGGCAGGCGCAGGGCCGCGAGCGGCACATGCGGAAGGAGCGCCGCCAGCGCCGCCTCCTGCGCGCGCACCGCGTGCGTCGACACGGTGTCCATCGCAGCGCCGAGCGCCTCGCACGCCGCGGGCACGTCGAGCAGCCACGCGCGCAGCACGCGCAGGCCGCCCTCAGGCGCCGCGGCGCCCGCACTCGCGCCCGAGCCCGCGCCGTCAGACGCACTGTGCCCGAGCGCCTGCACATCGAGCTCGAGCACCTGCAGCACACGCGCCTGGCACACGGCGCGGTGCGCGTACGCGGTCGTCTCGTCGGCCGGCGCGTCGTCCAAGGGGAACGGCGTGGGGCGGCGCAGCAGCGCGCCCAGCGCGTCGAAGAGCGCCGCGTCTTTGCGCAGCGCCGCAAAGACACGGGGGTGCGCGAGCGCATGCCCCCATGCCTCGTAGAGGAAGAAGAGCACCGCCTCGAGCACGTCCGGCGCACGTGTCCACAGGTCCGCGTCGCGCACGGTCGCCGCGGCCAGCTGCAGCGCCGTCGGCGCGTCGCCCGCCTTCGTGTGGCCGCCCGCCTCCTGGCCGCCGGTGAGCAGCAGCGTCGCGAGCGCAGGCTGCGACGCCAGGAGCGCTGCGAGCATGCGCCACACCGCCGCACGGAGATCGCCGTCGGTGTGGTCTGCCGAGAGCAGCTGCAGGTGGCCACGCACCGTCCGGTCGACGTGCGCTGTCGAGCCGAGGTGCCCGGCCCAGCGGAACGCAGACGCCTCGGACGTGCGCACCACATCCGTCACGAGCTGCGCGGCGGCCGTGGCCATGGCGGGCGGCACGGCCGCCGCCACATGCGCGAGCACCGCGCTCACAAGCGAGCCGCGCGCCTCGGGCGCCGTGCCTAGGAAGCACGCGCGGATCGGATGCGCACGGGCCGGGCGCGTGACGAGCGTTCGGGCCGTGCGGAGCGCCTGCGCCGCGAGCGCAGCGTCGGTGCGCTCCGTGGCGTCCAGCGCGGAGAGCAGGGGCCGGAGTGTGAGGGGCGTCGCTGCGTCGCCGAGCACGCGCTCAACGACAGCGACAAGCGGAGCGGCGGCCTTGTCCTCCTCCAGGCACGGGTCGCGGAGGACGGCGTCCCAGAGGCGCAGGCACGCGAGGACGAGCGACGCCTGCGCGTCCGGCGGCGCCATCGGCTCGACCCACACCGTGTCGGCGGCCCATGTGCAGGCGCGCGCAAGCACGCGCGCCTTGATGTGCACGAGGTTGTGGGGATCGACACACTGCGCCGCCTGCATCTGCGCGAGGAGCGCTGCGAGCAGGCTCAGCAGGGCCAGTGCGCCGCGCCACGCGCCGTGCGCGACGAGCGGCGACGGCGGCAGGTCGTGCGCGTCGTCGACGAGCGGCGCGGGGCCGGGGCTGCCGACGAGCACGTTCGTGCTGCGCACATGCTGCCACACGTCGTTCGGGCGCAGCGGCAGGAGCGCCTGCAGAAGGTGGTAGCCGGCACACACCTGGCGCTCGTGGACGGGGTGCGCTGCGAGGCCCTCCTGCACGAGGCGCAGGGCACTCGGCACGAGCGCCATGTCCGCCCCGAGGTGCTCGAGCAGCGCATCGCCGAGCGCATCGTCGGCGCTCAGCATATCGGCGAACAGCTCGGCCGTCTCGGTGGCCACGAGCGGCGCGTCGTCCCAGTCGGGGGACAGCGCCGTCGGCGGCGCGCGCGCGCCGTCGTCGAGGAGGGGATGCGCGCCGGTGCGGGCGGGCGGCCGCTCCCGATACGCCAGCGTATCGTGCAGCACATGCCACGCACTCACCGGCGCTGGGAGCTGCCAGAGCACGACGGCTGGCGCCTCGTCCGGCGGCGAGACGAGCGTGCCGCGCGTGCCGGCTGGGATCACGAGGCGCGTCGCAGCCACGGGCAGCGGCGTGCGCAGCTCGTACTGGACGCTGGGCGCCGTGGGCTCCGTCACGGGCTGCCACGGCGCCAGCGCGGCGGCGCGCGGCGGCATCACCAGGGCGAGCGTCGGCAGGTGCATCAGTAGATCGGCCGCCGAGGCGGCCGTGTCGGGCGCCGGCACCTCGGGCGCCGTGCCGCTGAGCGCGCGCGCGAGTCGCACGAGCGGGCGCAGCGACGCCGGGAAGCGGCGGCGCGCCGTGTCGAGGACGCTCGTGCGCGTGGGGTACGGCAGGTCCTGCGTCCAGAACTGGAGGCACAGGGCCGCGGCGCCATCGGCCACGTCGCCGGACGCGTCGCGGAAGGTGCCGTACCACAGGTCGACGAGCGCGTCGAGGTCCGGCAGGTACTCGGGCTGCACGAGCTCCGACACGGTGAGGAGGAGCCCTTTGAACACGGCGCGGTACGCCAGGGCGCTCAGGTTCGCGGCGCCAAACACATGCGCGGACGTGCCGAGGAGCGGCGACGATACGAGCGCGTGCAGCGTCGGCAGCAGCTCCATGCCGGGATCAAAGGCGCCCTGCGCGAGGCGCTGCCACATGGGCGGGCCCAGGTCGAGCACATCGACGGTGCGTGCGAGTGCGTCGTCGACCGCGCCGCCGGCGGCCGCGTACTCGTCGAGGCGGCGGAGCACGAGCGCGAGACCGAGGAGCAGGGGCGCATACGCCGCGTCCGACGCGGCGTGCGCCTCGAGGCGGCGGAGCGCCGCGTCGAGGTGCGCCGGGTCCGCGGCGAGTGGCGCAAGCGCTGCGTCGTCGGCGAGGGCGCCGGCCGGCGGCGCCTCCAGCGCGGCCTCGAGGTTAAGACACTCGATCGCCAGAAACACGAGCAGCTCCCGCACACTGCGCAGCAGGCCGCGGGCGCTGTCGTCGAAGAACCCGGCGCTCGCCTGGCGCTGGCCAAAGTGCGTGCGCTCGATCGTGCCGAGGAGCGCGTCCGCAAAGGCCATCGTGGGCGGCAGGCGCCCGTAGTAGAGCAGGAACGCGACCTCTAGGAGCGCAAGCTGGCGCTCGAGGCTGTGTCGCGCGCTCAGCACGGCGTACCGCGGATCCGCCGCGAACGGCGCGGCCAGCGAGTGGGTCGACGCGTGCTCGAACCATGTGAGGCAGCGGTGCGCGAGCGCATCGTCGGCGAGCGCGTCCAGGACCGCCGACGCCATGTCGAACAGCTCGTTGTGGGCGTCCTCGGCGATGCGCAGAAGCGCGCTGACGCAGCGGATGAGCGCGAGCTGCTCCTCGAGAAAAAAGACAAACACGGCATCCACGAGGGCCTCGAAGCGCTCCGAGCCCGGCTCGCTGTCGCGCGCGTCGAGTGTGCGGTGCTCGCTCGCGAGGTAGGTGCGCAGGAGCGCCGCGGCCTCGATCTCGTCGAGGTGCAGGCGGTCACTGAGCGCGAGACCCAGCCCGCGCACCGTGTCGTCCAGCTGGACGGTGTGCCCACGCCACGTCACCGCGTCTTTTTGGAGCGCGGCGCGCGACGCTGCACTCGGCGACGCCCACGCCGCGCCACAGTCGCGCAGCTGCGCGAGGCGCGCCTCGAGCAGGCGCTGGAGATCCGCAGGCGCGCACGTCTGGCGCGCACGCTCGAGATGCTCGTAGATCTCGTAAAACGATACATACATCAGCGTATGGGACGGGGGATCGCGCGCAGCGTCCGGCGCCGCGCTGGCTGCACCGGCCATGGTCGGCGGCTGCGAGACAGGGGAGGGTCGATCGGCCGAGGGGCGGGTCGTCGCCTCCACTCAGCGGCTCGGCGGCGCCACGGCGGGCGGCGGCGGCGGCGGCGACGGCGGCGGCGGCGGGGACATTGTCTCCTCGTACTGGGGAAGACGCACCCACTCGAGCGATGTCTTGGAGTGCGTGAGCACGATCGGCACGCCGATGACAATATCGAGGATGCGCGGCTCGCTGCCTAGACTCTCGACGCGGATCGTGATCTTGAGCACGTGGTAGATATGGATATTCGACTTGGGGTGCTGGCACGAGATATTGATCATGGTCTGGCGCTCCATCGTGACGGGCAGCGCGAGATGGAGGTGCCACGGCCCGGTCGGGCTGAGGGGCGCGAGGCGAATTTCCTCGGCCTCGGCGGGGCTCTGCGCAGCGGCGGCCTCGACATACGGGCGCAGCGGCGAGCGCGCCAGCGCATGTGGGTCCTCGTCAAGGACGGGGAGGAGGGGGCCCTCTCCCTCGGCGCCTTGCAGCCGCAGCAGGCTCCACTTGCGCGGCATTTCGTGGCGCATCGTCCTGCGCTCGTTCGCATAGTAGTCTGTCTTCTCCTCGAGCGCGAATACGAGGCGGTGGATGCGCGTCTTGCCGAGCGGCACGAACGTGAGACGCACAGGGATCGAGGTGCCGATCGGGAAGCTGCTCTCGTCGATGGCGACGGAGTACGACAGCATGTCCTCGCACAGGCGGTCGAGCAGGATCGAGTCGGCCACGCTCGGCGCGGCGACCGGCGGCGTCTGCACGAGCGTCACCTCGCGCTCCGCGACGACATTGCTCGCGAGCGGCCCACTGCGGAACACGGTCGCCTTGAGCTCGTACGAGACATGCCCAAAGTCGGCATGCAGCGTCGGCGGCAGGTCGTGCGGCAGCAGGAGGCTGAACGGGTACTCGTACTCGCCCTTGCGCAGCTCGAACCACTCGGCCTGCACCGGCGGCGAGCTGGCCGCCGGCAGAGAGAGGGGCGGTGGGTGCTCCGTGTCGGGCGACGTGCGCGGCGAGCGCAGCCCATCCAGCAGGCCCCGCACCGAGCGCAGCGCGTGCTGCGCAGACGGCGGCGGGCGGTACGGCAGCGGGATCATGAGCGGCGAGCGCTCGCGCTCGCGCACCTCCTCCGGCCACATGTGCTGCGTGGCCGTCGTCGGGTCCGCGACGGGCATCGCGTGGTCCGCCACGCCGCCGCGGCCGAGCGAGAGCGGCAGTCCTGAGCTCGTGCGGAAGATGCTCGTCGAGAGCCGCAGGATGTCGACCTGCTCCACCATTTCAATGCCATTCTGCTTGAGCCCCTCTGGCCAGTCGGTGCGCGACTGCCCACGGAGCGTGATCGTGATGTCCTTGATGCGCGCGGGGCGCGGTAGCGAGAGACGCACAATACCACGCACATGCACCCGCGGCGCATCGCGCTCGGGCGTCGAAAAGTCCTCGTCTCCCGCTGCACGTTAGAGGCGGCCACGTACCAGTGTGCTTGTGGGGAAGAAATACGGCCGGCTCCAGTACTGCGTTAGCGAGCCGACGTACATTGGATCTCGAGAGACGGCGACACCATGCTCGCAAGGCACAAGTCGTGCTGAAGGACGTGTGCGCCGCGTCGACCCCGCGTCCGCCGTCAAGTCCTCGTGGTAGGTGCGAGAGTGGCACAGCAGCGGCACGTGGAAATAGGGCCGATTGGCGCGAACGGACCGTGTCGACCTCCATGTCGTTGCACGCCACCGCCCACCTCCCCCCCCTGCTGATCTCGCCGAAGCAGCTCGCATCGCTCCTCCAGGGCCCGCGGCCGCTGCGCATCCTCGATGCGACGTGGTTCCTCCCGATGCCGGGCGCTGCGCCGCGCCATGCGCACGCCGAGTTCCTGCGTGGCCCGCGTGTGCCTGGCGCCCTGTTCTGGGACGTGGATGCGGTAGCGACCCGCGGGGAGAGTGTGCGCAACCTCCCGCACATGATGCCGAGCGCGTCTACGTTCGCTGAGGCTGCGCGCGGGCATGGGATCTCGCGCGATACGCATGTCGTCGTGTACGACACGCACGGGATCTTCTCGTCGCCCCGCACGGCGTTTACGTTTGCGGCGTTCGGGCACCCGGCCGTCTCTGTGTTGGACGGCGGGCTGCCCGCATGGCTCGCGGCCGGCGAGGCGGTCGATCGCGAGGCACTCACAGCGGACCCTACCGTCGAGGCGGCCGCGTACGAGGTGCCGACGCTGCGCCCGGGCTGGATCCGCTCGTTTGATGAGATGCTGCACAACACGACGCTCGGCACGAACGCGCAGACGGTGCTGGACGCGCGGCCCAAGCCGCGCTTCGACGGCCAGTCGCCTGAGCCGCGTCCCGAGATGGCGGCGGGCCACATTCCCCACTCGATATCGCTGCCCGCGTCGAGTGTGCTGGAGCAGCAGCCCGCGCACGATGGCCAGGGCTCGTACACGCGCATGAAGCCGCAGCACGAGCTGTGGAAGCTCGTGCAGTCGGTCGTGGGCGAGCAGGGCCTCGAGAAGCTGCGGCACGATGCGTCGGCGAAGGGCGCGCTCGGCGTGTCGCTGACCTGTGGCAGTGGCATGACGGCGTGCATTCTGTGGCTGGCGCTGCAGCAGCTCGGCATCGACGGCGCCTTGTACGACGAGAGCTGGGCAGGCTGGGGCCGCCGCGCGCACGCGGGCGAGGCGCCCGTCGAGAAGAGCGAGGCGTAGTCTATAGGACCGCATCGTAGGTGACGCCCTTGTGCTCGGCGCCGCGCATTGTGCGCTGGACATGGGCGGCAAAGGCCGCCTTGTCGCGCCGGAGTGTCTCGGCGGCGTCTGTGTGAGCGGCATGCACGCACCCTTGTTGAGGGGATCGTCCGCGTTGGGCGCGAGGAACAGGAACAGCAGGCCCACAAGGACCGAGTTCAAATTGAGGATGGGATTCCAGTCCTCGCGCAGGATGTTGAGGCAGACATTGCCGTCGAGATCGAGGTTCGGGTGGTACAGGCGCTGGAGACACTTGACCTTCGGCGGGTCATGCGGGTAGTTGCTATTGATGGCGATGCTGAAGCGGAAGGTGCCGCCGCAGTACATGCCCTCGTCCGGGCGCAGCCGCAGCTCAAAGTGCATCACGTCCGCGGGGTCCGGAAAGTGCGTCTCCATCGTGGGCGGCAGGTCCAGCTCCGAGAGGTCTGTGTTAGCGGCGTCACGTACCCTTTTGCACGCGGATCTGTGCAGGCGACAGGCGCGGCCCCTTGCGCCGCGCCTCGTCCGCCTCGCGCCGCTGGCTCCATAGCTGCGTCAGCGACGCGCACGTACATTGATCATGGCGGTGGGAGCGTGGCGATGACTAAAGAAGGTCCAGGGGAGGCTCGGTCTTCTTTCCCCTTGACCCTCGACACCATGTCGCGAGAAGCCGAAGCAGTCGCACCGGCCGAGGCGCGCACGGACGAGCTCGCTGGCGCCATGTCGGCGGCGCAGGTGAAGGACGAGCCGGCTCGCGAAGAGCATGACGACGACGAGAACGACGACGAGCCCGAGGATGTCGCGGCAGGCGACAGCGAGAAGAAGAAGAAAAAGAAGAAGAAGAACAAGAAGAAGAAGAAGGTGCAGCAGACCGAGCCGCCGACGATCGGCCTCTCGAAGCTGTTCCCGAGTGGCGTGTACCCCGAAGGCGAGATCCAGGCGTACGACACGAGCCACTTTGACGAGTCGCGGCAGCGCGTCACTGCCGAGGAGCTGCGCGAGCGCGAGCGCCTCGTGCAGCAGCAGGACGGCTTCGACTACAATATCATCCGTCGCGCGGCCGAGGTGCATCGCCAGGTGCGCCAGTACGCGCAGCGCACGATCCGCCCCGGCATGTCGATGACCGAGATTGCGAACATGGTCGAGAACGGCACGCGCGCGCTCGTCGAGGAGAACGGCTTTGAGAGCGGCATCGGCTTCCCCACCGGCCTGAGCCTCAACGAGGTCGCGGCGCACTACACGCCGAACGCAGGCGACAAGCGCATCCTGCAGGCGTCCGACGTGCTCAAGGTCGACTTTGGTGTGCACGTCAAGGGCCGCATCGTCGACAGCGCGTTCACAATGAACTTTGAGCCGACGTGGGACCCGCTGCTCGCAGCCGTGAAGGAGGCGACCGACGCAGGTGTGCGCACGGCCGGCATTGACGTGCGCCTCGGCGACGTGGGTGCGGCGGTGCAGGAGGTGATGGAGAGCCACGAGTTTGAGGCGGAGGGCAAGACACACCAGGTCAAGTGCATCCGCAACCTGAACGGCCACAACATTGAGCCGTACCGCATCCACGGCGGCAAGTCGGTGCCGATCGTCGCGACGCCCGGCCTCAATACCAAGATGGAGGAGGGCGAGTACTTTGCGATTGAGACGTTCGGCTCGACGGGCCGCGGCTATGTCGTCGACCACGGCGAGTGCTCGCACTACGCCCGCAAAGTGACGCCGCCCAAGGTGTCGCTGGGCCTCAGCAGCGCGCGCCAGCTGCTGCACACGATCAACAAGAACTTTGGCTCGCTGCCCTTCTGCCGCCGCTACCTCGACCGCCTCGGCGAGCAGAACTACTTGCTGGGCCTGCGCCACCTCGTGCAGCAGGGCATCGTGACCGACTACCCGCCGCTCGCCGATGTGCCTGGCTGCATGACGGCGCAGTATGAGCACACGATTCTGCTGCGCCCGACGTGCAAGGAGGTGGTGTCGCGCGGCGACGACTACTAGACTAGATAGCGCGCCATACACACCGGCTAAGCCACAGCGTCGCGAGCCACACCGCTGCCATCGTCACGAGGACTACAGGCGCCGCAAGCGCCGCATCGCCCACGGGAATCGGCGCACTCGTCTCGGACGGCAGGGCCATGCGCCGTGCATACACGGTGCGTGCGCCCAGCAGGGCCTGCAGCGGGGCGTGCCAATGCGCATGGCTTGGCGGGAGGACCGCCGTCGTATCGACCACGTCCCAATCCGCGGGGCCTTCAGCGGCGCACACGGCCATGGCGACGGGTGCGTCCGCGACAAGCGCCTGTGGTGTGGTGGGCGTGGCGAGCCATGGCGCTAGCTCCCGCTGCCATGCGTCCGCGGCGCGATGCAGCCAGGCGCCCAGGGCGCGATCGGTGCCGAGTCGCTGCGCCAGCGTGTGCAGCGCCCCCGGCATCGTGCGTGCCTCGCTCGACGTGTGTACGGGTGCCGCGTGCGCATAGCGCACATGCAGAGGCACACGCACCTCGCCGCTCTGCGCGAGATCCAGGAGCAGCGCCGTATGCTCGCACTGCACGCCCGTGCAAGGCCTGCGGTAGCTCGCGGCGTCGCCCTCCCACCACGCGCGCGGCCCAGTCTCCCTCTGTGCGGCCAACCGTGGCTCCGTGGCCCAGCCAGGCATGTTCTCGAGGTCCACGGGGCCCAGAACGTGCACGTCGCGCACGGGCGGCGAAGGACGCGCGGTGAACGGGTCAAAGAACGCACTGGGCGGTAGTGTGTACAGGAGATGGAGCTTGCATGCCCGAGGCACCTCGGGCACGTCGATCCACGCGGTCGGCGCGTACGAGTCGCGCTGCGACCAGCGCAGGCGGCCGCTGGCGGGCGGCGTGGCCGGCTGCATGAGGGAGGAGCGGCCTGTGCGCTGGCTAGGCATCACGTGCATGGCTCTCGCACGAGCGCCGCGGTGCGTCGGCGGCCAGCCCGCAGCATGGGGGATCCGATGCCGAGTGCGTCACCGGAGGACGCACTGAACCGTATTCTCGAGGGTGCGAATGCGCTGAGTATGTCTCCGGACCATGACCTGAGCGTCGAGCTGACGCGGCCGCTCGTCCCGCTCGATGCGGCCGAGCGCGAGGCGTTCGGCAAGAAAGTGGCCTCCACGAAGCTGGGCGCGAACTCTGACGGGCTGATCGCGCTGCTGCGCGACTACCCGAACCTCGTCAGCTCGCAGCTGGCCGAGGAGGCGGAGCGCGAGCTGGCCCGGAAGTCGCCGGTGCCGATGCGCCCGCTGGACACCGTGACGAGCTATGCGAGTACGCTGCATGGCGACGACATTTCGAGCCAGAGCGACCTGTTTCCACGCTCCGAGGCGGGTGAGCCGCCAAGGCAGGGCCACCGGCGTTTATCGCGCTCAGTGATGCAGTTTCCGATCCCCGAGGCGGCGCGAGCCGCCAGTGACAAGGTGCGGCGAGCGTCCCCGCACCGGCTGGGGACGACGCCCATGTCGATGTCGCGCTCGCACTCGATGCCGGGCGAGCTGAATCTCGGCACGGTGGGTACGCGGTCGGACTACGGCGACGAGAAGATCGTCGTGGCCATGGTCGGTCTGCCCGCCCGCGGCAAGAGTTTCCTGTCGAATAAGCTGATGCGCTACCTGCGGTGGCGCGAGTACAAGGTGCGCGTGTTCAATGTGGGCCAGCTGCGGCGCGCCGTTGCGCGCGACAGCGATGCGGGCTCATGGGCCGCGTCTCTGCAGGACTCTGCCTTCTTTGACTCGAACAACGCAGAGGCGGTCAAGGTGCGCGAGGCGCTCTCGCACGAGTGTCTCGAGCAGCTCATCCACTGGCTCAAGACCACAGGGCACGTCGGCATCCATGACGCTACGAACACGACCAAGGCGCGGCGGCGGCAAATTGCCGAGCGCGTCGCGCAGGAGCCGGGCATGCGCCTCCTGTTCCTCGAGTCGGTGTGCACGGACCCGGCGGTCGTCGCGGCGAACGTCGAAGTCAAGGTGCAGAGCCGCGACCCCGATTATGTGAACATGAACCGCGACCAAGCGCGCAGCGACTTTTTGCGGCGTATCCGGCACTACGAGGATGTGTATGAGCCCTTGGATGCGGACGGCACGGAACGGCACTACTCGTACTGCAAGATCATCGACGTCGGAAGCACCGCGACGATGAACCTGATCAGCTCGTACCTCAAGTCGCAGATCGCGTTTTACCTGCTCAACCTGCACATTGCGCCGCGCAACATTTTCATGTCGCGCCACGGCGAGTCGCAGTTCAACGTCGAGGGCAAAATTGGCGGCGACTCGGGCCTGTCTGAGCGCGGCTGGGCGTATGCGCGTGCGCTGCCGAAGCTCATCCAGGACCACGTCGGCGACGAGGAGCTGACTGTGTGGCACAGCTCGCTGCGCCGCACCGGGCAGACAGCGAGCCTGCTTCCGTACCCGAAGCTTGTGTGGAAATCGCTCGACGAGCTCGACGCGGGCGTGTGTGATGGCATGACGTACGAGGAGATCGAGAAGTTCTACCCGGAGGACTCGGCGAGCCGCGACGAAGACAAGTTCAACTACCGCTACCGCGGTGGCGAGAGCTACCGCGACGTGGTCGTGCGTCTCGAGCCGGTCATCATGGAGCTCGAGCGGCAGACGAACATCCTCATTATTGGGCACCAGGCGATCCTCCGTGCCCTGTATGCCTACTTTATGGGCTACGACCAGAGCGAGCTGCCCTATATCAAGATACCGCTGCACACGGTCATCAAGCTGACGCCCAAGGCGTACGGATGTGATGAGGAGCGCTACGCGCTGCCGATCGAGGCCGTCGATACACATCGCGCGCGACCGATGGCGCCGCGGCCCGCGCCCGCGCCGGCCGACGGGGAGAGTGAGATCCTGCAGGCGCTCACCAGCCCGCCGCCGACGCAGCAGGTGCACCACATGACCGAGAAGCGCTAGCGCCAGTGCGACATGCGGCGCTCCTCGGCGCGCCGCTGCTCGACCTTGGCCGCGACGCGCGGGCCCCAGTACGCCGCGGGATCACGACCCACCGACAGCACCTCTTTTTCATGCTCGCGCGCCTGGGGGCGCGTGAACAGGACAACATTGTCATAGTCCAGCGGGCGCTTCGGGTCCCAGCGCTCGAGCTGGCCCACGGCGAGCGTATCGTGGGGCGGGACGACGGAGCGCCCGCGGAAGATCTCCTCGAAGATGTAGCCGATATCATTCACGCTGAAAGGGATGCGCACGCGCGGCGGCGGCGGCGCGCCGGGCGTCGGCGTGTACGTCGGCGGCACGTCGCTCGGGTCGCGCGCGAGGCGCGGCGCGCGGATGTCGATGGGTGGCGAGGGGAACTTGCTTTCCGAGACGTTCAAGTCCGCAAAGAGCTTCTCGTACAGCTTGCGGCGCCCCTTGATCGCGAGCGGCTCGAGCTTGTACTGCGCGATATCGCACAGGATGTACGTGGCGGCGGCGAGGCCGAACATGGCGGGCAGCGGCCCCAGCACAGGGAGAATCCGCACGCGGAAGTCGTCAAAGGCAGCGAGCTCCTTCACGGCGCCCTTCTCGAACTCCTCGTCGGGCAGCGGGAGCAGGTGCGTGTCGGACTTTTCCGTAGAGTACACGCACGGGAGTGTCCAAGCCGTCGCGCAGTGCGCCTCGATGGCCTGCTTCTTCTCCTTGGGGTCCTCGCTGCCGGGCGGCGGGATCGGCGGCAGACCCGCCGCGCGCAGCTCGCGGCGCACGACGCGCGCGAGTGGGTCCTCCGCGGTGGTCGAAATGTCGCTGATCTGGATCCGGCTGGGATCGGCCTTCGCGCCCGCGCCCATCGACGCAAAGACCCGCAGGTTGTGCTCCGCGCAGTACTTGAGCAGCTCGACCTTGGTGTCGAGGTTGTCGATGGCGTCGACGATGTACGTCGGGTGGCCGCCCAGGAGCTCGTCGGCGTCCTGGGCGCGGAAGAGGCGCACCCACGCCTCGACGCGCGCCCACGGCGCAATCTTGCCGAAAAACTGCTGGCAGCACACGACCTTGGGCCGCCCGACGTCCGCGAGCGTCGCGCATGCGTGGCGGTTCAGCGACGAGAGCGACACCTGGTCAAAGTCGATCAGGCGCAGGCGCCCGACACCCGCGCGCAGGAGCATCAGGGCGGCCCAGCTGCCGACGCCGCCGGCGCCGACGACGATCACGAAGCTGTCGCGAATACGCTGCATGCCCTCCTCGCCGAGGAAGGAGTAGTGCCGGCTCAGCTGCTCGCGCACCAGGCTCTCATCGTGCGTGGGGTGCGCGTCCTGCGCGGGCGGCGGCACGCCCGGGAGGGCCTGCGTCGGTGCGTCGTGGGCCGCCGCGTGTGCCGCGCGAGCGAGGCGTGCGCGGCGGCGGCGGCGGGTACGCGTCTGCCATCCCAAGACCGCGGCCACTGAAAGCGCCGATGACGCAAGCGCCACCGCGCCAAGGACGGCCGCCGAGCGCACGCTCTGCATGCCCAGGCGACTCTGGCGGCGGCGGCGGCGGTCGGACGCCGTTCGGCGATACGCACGTGACATGCAAATTTTTCGTGGCGGCGGCGGCGGCGCGGCCTGGCCCCAGCACTCACGGCGATGGACATTACGTCGCATGTGCGGTCCGCCTCGTTCTCGTTCCTGACGGCGGACGAGGTGCGGAGCATTTCGGTGCGACAGGTTGTCAACCCGGTGCTGCTGGACCATGCTAATGCGCCGACGGAGGGCGGTCTGTACGACCCGGCGTTCGGGCCGATGCGTGTGGACGACCTGTGCCAGACCTGCCACATGAGTCACTTTGAGTGCCCTGGGCACTTTGGGCACATGGAGCTCCCTGCGCCCGTGTTCCACCCCCTGTTTATGAACCATGCGTACTCGCTGCTGCGTGGCACGTGTCTGTACTGCCACCACTTCAAGCTGCCGCGCATGGCGGTCGCCAAGTACACGGCGCAGTTTCGCCTGCTCGAGTATGGCCTTGTGGACGAGGCGCAGGTGATCGGGGAGGCGACGCTTCGCCGCTCGGACGCGGGCGATGACGACGAGGAGGCGCCGCTCGCCGCCGGCGCCACACAGGCGGAGACAGTCGACGACTTTGTGCGCCGCATCGACGCCGAGGCCCGCCGGCACATGGCCGCGGCCCAGGCGCGCGGCGTGCGCCGCGGCCAGGACATGGGCATGGCGACATACGCCGCGCGGCGTGCGCTGCGCGCCGCCTTTCTCAAGGACATGCTCCGCCGGCGCTGCGAGCAGTGCCAGGCGATGAACCCGACGCTGCGCAAGGACGGCTTTGTGAAGATCACCGAGCGTGCGCTCTCGGCCCGCGACCACGCGATCCACGAGGCACGCGGCCTGCGTCGCCCCAACGTGCTCCTGGACCGCGAGGAGGCGCCAGCGGGCGCCATGGAGGATGCACCCGCGGTCACACTCAAGGAGGCTCGCAAGCTGAGCAAGGAGGCCGGCGAGCAGACGCGCGTCGTGCCTGCGAGCGAGTGCCGCGCGCACCTGCGGCGCCTCTTCGCCAACGAGGCGGCGATCTGTGCGCTCGTCTTTGGGCGGCACCCCGTGTTTGGCGGGCGGGCGGCGCCGAGCGCGGACGTGTTCTTTGTGGACGTGATCTGCGTGACGCCCACGCGCTTCCGCCCCGCGAGCGTGATGGGCGAGCAGACGTTTGAGAACCCCCAGAACGAGCTGCTGACCAAGGTGCTGCAGACGACGTTCCTTGTGCGCGACGCGAACGAGCGGGCGCAGGCGTTCCAGCGCAAGGCGGACTACCCGTCGCTCGACGGCGTCGACGAAGCAGAGGCGATCCGGCTCGTCGCGCAGTGGGAGGGCGCGCGCCGCGCGGCGCTGGACGACCTGCTCTCTGCGATGATGCAGCTGCAGGTGAGCGTGAACGTGTACATGGACTCGAGCAAGAACCCCGCGCCTGCGCGGCAGGGCGCCGCGGCGACGCCGGGCGTGAAGCAGGGCCTCGAAAAGAAGGAGGGCCTGTTCCGCAAGCACATGATGGGCAAGCGTGTCAACTTTGCCGCGCGCTCGGTCATCTCGCCCGACGTGAACATTGAGACGAACGAGATCGGCGTGCCGCCCGTGTTCGCCAAGCGGCTGACGTACCCCGAGCCGGTCACGGTGCACAACGTCGAGATGCTGCGCCAGCTCGTGATCAACGGCCCTGACGTCTACCCCGGCGCACAGGCGGTGCGGGCCGAGGACGGCACCGAGACGCTTCTGCAGCACCTGTCCGTGGAGGAGCGCACGGCCCTCGCGAACCAGCTGCTCACGCCGCAGGGCCAGACGTCGCGGCAAGCGCACGGCACGTTCGGCGGCGTGGGCGGCACGCTGCGCACGCCCGTCGCGAACAAGCAGGTGCTGCGTCACCTGCGCACGGGCGACATTCTCGTGATGAACCGCCAGCCGACGCTGCACAAGCCGTCGATGATGGCGCACCGCGCGCGCGTCCTGCAGGGCGAGCGCACGATCCGCATGCACTATGCGAACTGCAACTCGTACAATGCGGACTTTGACGGCGACGAGATGAACATGCACTTCCCCCAGAGCCAGATGGCGCGTGCCGAGTGCTACCACATTGCGAGCACGGACCACCAGTACCTGGTGCCGACGAGTGGCAACCCGCTGCGTGGTCTGATCCAGGACCACGTCGTGGCGGGTGTGTGGATGACGTGCAAAAACACGATGTACACGCGCGACGAGTACCAGCAGCTGCTGTACGGCGCGCTGCGCCCCGAGACTTATGGCATGGCCGGCCGGCTGCGCACGCTGCCGCCGGCGATCTGGAAGCCTGTGCCGCGCTGGACGGGCAAGCAAGTGATCTCGACGGTACTCCTCAACGTGACGCCAGGGCATGCGCAGGGCCTGCACCTCGATGCGAAGGCGCGCGTCGGCGCCAAGTACTGGGGCGCTGAGCATGCCGCCGAGGAGACGGTCGTCGTACGCGATGGCGAGCTGCTCACAGGCGTGCTGGACAAGTCGCAGATCGGCGCGTCCGCGTACGGCCTGGTGCATGCCGTCTACGAGATCTACGGCCCTGAGAGTGCGGGCCGCCTGCTTTCGATTCTCTCGCGGCTCTTCACCCTGTGGCTGCAGCACAACGCCTTCTCTTGCCGCATGGACGATCTGCTGCTCAGCGCGGCGGGCAACGACGAGCGACGCCGCCTGCTGCAGGAGGGTGCGCAGCACGGCCGCGCGACGGCCCTGGACCATGTCGGGCTGGGCGATGAGCGCGCAGACGACCCCGATACGCACTACCATCTGCGTGTGCGTCTCGAGGAGGTACTGCGTGACGACGACAAGCTGGCCGCACTTGACGCAGCGATGATGGGCGCCGCGAACAAGCTCACGTCGTCGGTCATCTCCGCGTGTCTGCCGCGCGGCCTGGGGCGCACGTTCCCTGAGAACAACATGCAGATGATGACTGTGTCGGGCGCCAAGGGCAGTGCCGTGAATGTGTCGTCGATCTCGTGCCTTCTCGGCCCGCAGGCGCTCGAGGGCCGCCGCGTGCCGGTGATGGCGAGCGGCAAGACGCTGCCGTCGTTCAAGGCGTTTGAGACGGCGGCGCGGGCGGGCGGCTTTGTGGCGGGCCGCTTCCTTACGGGCATTGCGCCGCAGGAGTACTACTTCCACTGCATGGCCGGGCGTGAGGGCCTCATCGACACGGCCGTGAAGACATCGCGGTCCGGCTACCTGCAGCGCTGCCTGATCAAGCATCTGGAGGGCGTGTCGGTGCACTACGACCAGACGGTGCGCAACAGCGACGGCTTTTTGCTGCAGTTCCACTACGGAGAGGACGCGCTGGACGTGACCAAGAGCAAGTACCTCGACCGCTTCGACTTTATGGTGCAGAACTTTGAAAGCTACCGCCGCCGCTACAACCCCGTGCAGCTCGCCTCGACGATGGAGGTCGAGCTGGCGCCGGACCACATGAAGCGCGCGCTCAAGAAGCCACATAAGTACGCGCCCGCGCTCTCACTCTATGCGCCCGCACGGCACTTTGGCTCCATGTCCGAGACGTACGCGCGCCGCGTCGAGGAGTACGTGGCGGCGAACCCCAGCGGCCTCCTCGCGCGCAAGAAGGAGACAGGCGTGCCAATGCCGCTCGCCCAGGCAAAGCTGAGCGCCGAGCAGTTCCGCGCGATGACCAAGGTGCTGTACCACCGCGGACTCGTGGAGCCGGGCGAGAATGTCGGCTTGCTCGCTGCACAGGGTATCGGTGAGCCGTCGACGCAGATGACGCTCAATACGTTCCACTTTGCCGGTCACGGTGCGGCGAACGTCACGCTGGGTATTCCACGTCTGCGTGAGATTGTCATGACGGCCTCGCAGGACATCAAGACGCCGATCATGCGCCTGCCACTGCTCCAGGGCATCACCGATGAGCAGGTGAACACGTTCTGCCAGGACGGCTCGCGCCTTGTGCTGAGCCAGATTGTCGAGGAGGCTACGGTCACGGAGCGCATGATGCCCAAGACAGCGGCGAATGGCTACCAGCGGCAGAAGCTGTACACGGTGCGTCTCGCGCTGTATCCTGCCGAGGAAGTGTGGGAAGCGTACCACGCCTCGACGGAGCATGTGCTCCAGGGCCTGGAGGCGACGTTTGTTCCGCTTGTCGAGCGCGAGATCGTGCGTGAGCTCAAGCGGCTGCGGCGCGAGCAAGTGCGCCAGTCGCAGTCGATCGGACGCGGCGAGACCGTGTCCGATGCACCGGGCGCGGATGCCGACGGCGACGCGGACACCGAGGCGCCGCGTGCGCGCGACGGCGACGAGTCCGATGACGAGCCGCTGTCCGACACGGGCGACGACGACGATGCGACGGCGGCCAAGCGGCGGGCGAACGCAGGCTCGAAGGTGTCGTACGACGACGACGACGCGGCGGAATCGGCCGATGACATCGCGCGTGCCTTTGACGACGAGGCCGTCGAGGACGATGGCGAAGCGCAGGCCGAGGCGCAGGACGAGGGCCTCGAGGCCCAGGTCAGCGATCTGGGCGAGCGCCTGCAGAACGAGAGCCAGTTTGTGTGTGCGTTCCGCTTCGACAGCGCACATGGCGCGTGGGCCGAGTTTGATCTGCAGATGCTGAACAGCACCGATAAGATGCTGCTGATCAACGTGATTGAGCGCGTGTGCCGCGCGAGTGTGGTGCACGAGATCCCACGGATCAGCCGCCTGCTTGTTCCACCGCCGTCGCCAGGCGACACGGAGGTGGCGCTCACCGCCGAAGGTATCAATCTGCCAGGCCTATGGGACTTTGGCTTCGGCGTCGTGGACATGAACCGCATCTACACGAACGACATTGGCGCACTGCTCCACAACTACGGAGTGGAAGCAGCACGCGCCGCCATTGTGAGCGAGCTCAAGGGCATCTTCGACACGTACGGCATTGGCGTATCGATGCGCCATCTGTACCTGATCGCCGACTACCAGACGGCGCTGGGCGACTTTAGGCCGTTTAGTCGTGGCGGCTTGGCTGATGCGCCGTCGCCGCTGCTCAAGGCCAGCTTCGAGATGACGATGGCCTTCCTCAGTGGCGCCGCACTCTTCCAGGAGTCCGACAATCTCTCGTCGCCGTCTAGCAACCTCGTCGTGGGCCGTCCTGTGACGACGGGTACTGGCGCGACGACCATTCATCTGCCGCTGGCGGCGGCTGCGTAGATAAAAGTAGCACTTACGAGCTATGGCTCTCGTCAGGACAGGGACGGCTATCCACTGCCGTGCGCTGCTGCTGCGCGGCGCACGCCTGCAGAGATACACGCGGCGCGCGCGCCTCGTTCTCCAAGTGCTGCAGCGCGGCAGGGGGTACAGGGAAGCCTTCTGGCAAAGGCAGCACATGCCGTGCCGGCACTCGCTGGTCCACGAGGCCCCAAGGCGTGCAGATGCGGTAGCCAGCCCCGGTCTTGTGGCCCGCCACGAGTCCGGGAATGCGGTAGTCGTCCAGGGGGGCACGCGCTAGGCCCTGCACAGCAATGCTCACTGCCGTGCGCCGCCGCAGCACGGGGTAGGGATTCCGCGCAGGCGAGCTTGCCGCAGGGCTCCGGCTGCGCACAGGGCCCGCGGACGACGGCATAGACGAGCCGGCCACCGGCCGGCTCGCCTCGGAATCGCGCACGTCCGAATCGGGGGGCGGCGTAGCAAGAGGCTCCTCCGAGCAGCTGCGCGGCCCTGCAGGGCTTGGACTGGTGGGAGCGAGGCGCTGAGGTGGCCGGCGGCCAAACACGACCTCGAAAGGAGACTTGCGGATCGTCGCATGCATAGACATGTTGCACGCGAGTGCGATGGACGAGAGGGCTTGGGACCAGCACCGGTGCCCGCACCGACGACACCACTTGGCAATCATGCGACGCACATGTCCGTTAGCACGCTCGACGAGTCCCTGACTCCGCGGCCGACCCGTCTGCCCGTGACGGATAAGGATGCCGTGCTCCATCGCCACATGCTCAATGGTCTTGTTCACAAATTCGGGTCCGTTATCGGTTTGCAGGATCTGGGGCGGGCCCAGGACCGCGATCCATTCCATCAGGTGGCGTACCACGGCAGACCCGCTGCGCCGGCGCAACGGATACAGCATGCAGAAACGCGAATAGTGGTCCTTGATGTGCAAGATCCAGCGGTACTTGCCGTCTGGCTGCTCCCGCATATCAATCAGGTCCATCTGTACCCGCTCCATGACATGGTGCGACACGATCGGCTGCCATGGTGCCGGGCGCGGTCCCGCACTCTGCAGATGGCACAGCATGCATCGCTGCAGCACCCAGTCCACAGCACTCTTTGGGATCCCGTGGTACCGCCTGGAGACTTCGTACCATGTCTTGTTCGTTCCCTGGTGCTGGATCGCGCAATGCTCATGGACAATGGTATCGAACATGCCATCGTGCGGGACCACCAGCAGCGCACCCTTCGCCTTTCGACCATGATAGTACAGTGCTCCATCGTCGCCCAGCGAGTAGAACTGCCGTGTCTTCTGGATGAACACCATAGTCTTGAGCTCCCGGTCAGTCAGCTCTCGGGCACGCTCGCCGCGCCGCAGCGACTGCAGCACTTGCACCCGAGCCTCGTACCGATCACGCGTGATGACGCTCTTAAACGTGCGGCTAGAGAGCCAGTCGAGGAAAAGCGTGCGATGGCTCGGATCAAAGCCTGCAATCGAAAGCGGCGGCACACTGGGTGGACTCGCCGTGGGTGTGGGTGAAACATCGGCATGCATCCCCAGTGAGCCCCAGCACACGGGAGGGTGGATGGGTAGTCTAGCCCGGGCGGGCGCCAAAAAAGGCCAAACTCATTTGGGACGACCGTTCCAAATGAGACAAGGATGGATAATGCCTTACAATCGGGAGCGACTCTCTAAGTATCTCCACTACCAAATTAAAATTACCAACCTACGTCGTCCCTATTATTGACGTAGCCCCTATCGGTTACTTTCCACTTACATCACGCTCACTTGACGGTGTGCGCTCATAGTACCAGATAGCACCATCCGTGTGAGCACACGAGGTCGGCGTCACCGAGTCAATGTGCGTGACATTGACATCCTGAGGACGTCCATTTGCATAGCTAAAGTACCACACCTCGGCGAGCTCAGTCGAGCCATGGTCACTTGTGTTCTTCGATCCGTGGACTTGGCTGTACTTCTCACCGTAGCATCCCAGGTAAGGCACCGCACCATAATGCTTCTTCAGAGCAGACTGGATGTCCTTCAAGCTGTATTGTGTCTTGTTGCTGGGAACAATGCCCTCAGCAGCAAGCCAGTCGTAAGTGGGCAAACGGCGATAGAATGTGATAGCAGTGTCGAAGAACTCAATCATGTCCTCATGCTTGCGGTACTTGGGTCCATAGCAGGGGACATCAAACGTGCTGTAGCAAGTGGCATGCTTGCTGAATTCATGCGCCCAAAAGTCCGCGCTCGGCTGACCCTGGGACACCCAGAACTTGTTCATCCAGTCTAGCAGATCATAGCGGTCCCATTCCTTAATGAACTGGTCCACACCAGGGCCCCTGTAAGGCTTCACCTTTTGGCCGTTCACTTCCTCCGGAGGCTGACGGTCATACTGGCGATCCAAGTCACAGTACTGGGGGTAAGAGCCGTTGCAGTAGTCAGGCCAGAGACCGTGCAGAGTCCAGTGCTTCTTGGGAAGCAGCTGGCCCTCATCCTCTCGACCAGTGTATGTGTCCCAGAATTGCGTCGAAAGCAATTGGCCTCCGTACGTCTCCGTGCAGCAAGTGTCCAGGTTGGCCAGATCCAGGGCAGAGAGCGAACAGGACTGAACCGTCGGCTTAATGGCACATGAATGATTGAACTTCGTAGTGTTGGAGTAGAGAGCAGCGTGAGCAAACGCGGCTACAGTGAGAATACCGACAAACGATTTAAAAGTCACAAGCATGTCAAGACAGACGCTCTGGGAGCACCAGGCACAAGCGTGGTCCGAGCATTTATGGGAATGCGACACAGACAACGTTTATTACGCACGTGCAGTATTGAGCGAATCGGACTCAATGTAAACGATGCGCCAAATTCTTAACGGAAACAGAAAACAAAAACACCAGTCTCTAATCGTCGACTCCCAGTATGCTGTCCATGCCATCGATATAAACGTATTCTAAGCAACGTAATATAGGAAAACAATGAGACTATTTCATATGAGAAATTAACAGTTACACCACCAACAGCATAGAGTAAGAGCGATGCTAAAACAACAAATGAAACAGAGAGAAAACAGAACGTATATGATCAGTATTCTATAGGACGCCATATAATCGAGTAAACAAAACTATCCCAACATTCAAAGGCCGTCGTGAAAAAAAT